ACCCCTTCCCAAGCCCCCTAAATTCCCCAAGCCCCCAAATCCCTCCCAAATCCCTCCAAACCCCTAAAAATCCCTCAAGCCCTCCCAATCCCCTCAGACCCCCAAAAATCCCCTCAAACCCCCAAAATAGCCCCCACCCCCAGGGCTCGGAGCCTTTCTTCGTCTGTGCCTGCGGCGCCACCGTCCTGGGGGGCTTTGACTCCCTCCCAAACCCCCTAAGGCCCCATCAAATCCCCCCAAATCCCCCAAACCCCCAAATCCCCCAAATCCTCCCCAAACCCCCCAAAATAACCGCCCCACCCCCAGGGCTCGGAGCCTTTCTTCGTCTGTGCCACCAGCGGCACCACCGTCCTGGGGGCTTTGACTCCCTCCCAAACCCCCTAAGGCCCCTTAAATCCCCCCAAATCCCCCCAAACCCCAAAAATCCCCCAAATCCTCCCCCAAACCCCCCAAAATAACCGCCCACCCCCAGGGCTCGGAGCCTTTCTTCATCTGTGCCACCAGTGGCACCACCGTCCTGAGGGTGTTCGGCCCCCTCCAAAACCCCTAAGCCCCCTAAATCCCCCAAATTCCCCTCCAAACCCCCAAATCCCCTCAAACCCCCAAAATCACCCTCCCAGGGCTCAGAGCCTTTCTTCGTCTGTGCCCAGCGGCACCACCGTCCTGGGGCGTTCGACCCCTCCCTCCATCGCCGCCATCTGCGCCCGCCACGGGCTGTGGCTGCACGTGGATGTGAGTCTGGAGGCGTCCCCGCTGGGGGGTCTAGGACCCCCCTGGAGGGATTTGACCCCTCCCAAATTCCCACCCCCTCCCCAAAAATTCCCACAGGCGGCGTGGGGGGCAGCGCCCTCCTGTCCCCGAAACTACGGCACCTCCTCGAGGGATCCACAGGTGGGACCCCCAGCCCCTCCTCCAAATTCCCCCCACCCCCTGGAGGTTTGGGGACCCCAGCCCCCTTTTTGGCCCCCCCTCCCCCCCCCAGGGCCGGTTCGGTGACGTGGAACCCCCACAAGCTGCTGATGGTGGGGCTGCAGTGCTCGGCCTTCCTGCTGAGGGACGGATCCGTACGTGCCCCCTCCCCAAATTCCAGACCCCGGGATGGGACCCCCAGACCCTCAGGGACACCCAGAGACCCCCCAGAGGTCCCCCAGAGACCCCCTCCAGGGGGGTCTCTGGGTGTCCCTGGGTTGGCGCTGGGGGTCTCTGAGGGTCTCTGGGTGTCCCTGGGTTGGCTCTGGGGGTCTTTGGGGGTCTCTGGGTGTCCCTGGGTTGGCTCTGGGGGTCTCTGGGTGTCCCTGGGTGTCTCTGGGTGGTCCCTGGTTGTCTCTGGGTGGTCCCTGGGTGTCCCTGGTTGTCCCTGGGTGTCTCTGGTTGTCCCTGGGTGTCCCTGGGTGTCCCTGGGTGTCTCTGGGTGGTCCCTGGGGTGTCTCTGGGTGTCTCTGGGTGTCCCTGGCTGGTCCCTGGGTGTCTCTGGGTGGTCCCTGAGTGTCTCTGGGTGGTCCCTGGGTGTCTCTGGCTGGTCCCTGAGTGTCCCTGGGTGTCCCTGGGTGTCTCTGGCTGGTCCCTGGGTATCTCTGGGTGTCTCTGGGTGTCTCTGGCTGTCCCTGGGTGTCCCTGGGTGTCCCTGGATATCCCTGGGTGTCTCTGGGTGGTCCCTGGGTGTCCCTGGCTGTCCCTGGGTGTCTCTGGGTGGTCCCTGGGGTGTCTCTGGTTGTCCCTGGGTGTCCCTGGGTGTCCCTGGGTGTCCCTGGGTGTCCCTGGGTGTCTCGGGGTCCTGGGTGTCCTGGGTGTCTCTGGTGTCCCTGGGTGTCCCTGGGTGTCCCTGGGTGGTCCCTGGGTGTCTCTGGGTGTCCCTGGGTGTCTCTGGGTGGTCCCTGGGTGTCCCTGGGTGTCCCTGGGTGTCTCTGGATGTCCCTGGGTGTCTCTGGGTGTCCCTGGGTGTCTCTGGTGTCCTGGGTGGTCCCTGGGGTGTCTCTGGTTGTCCCTGGTTGTCCCTGGGTGTCTCTGGGTGGTCCCTGGGTGTCCCTGGTTGTCCCTGGGTGTCTCTGGTTGTCCCTGGGTGTCCCTGGGTGTCCCTGGATATCCCTGGGTGTCTCTGGGTGGTCCCTGGGTGTCTCTGGGTGTCCCTGGGTGTCTCTGGGTGGTCCCTGGGTGTCTCTGGCTGGTCCCTGAGTGTCCCTGGATATCCCTGGGTGTCTCTGGGTGGTCCCTGGGTGTCTCTGGTTGTCCCTGGGTGTCTCCAAGCCCCCCTCCCAACCCCGCGGTGCCCCCGCAGGGGCTCCTGCAGCGCTGCCACGGGGAGGGGGCCCCGTACCTGTTCCAGAGGGACAAATTCTACGGGGCCGAGCTGGACCCGGGTGACAAAAGCCCCCAGTGCGGGCGCCGCCCCGACGGCCTCAAGCTCTGGCTGCTCTGGAAGGCGCTGGGGGCGCGGGGGCTGCGGGAGCGCGTCGAGAGGGCCTTCGCTGCCTCCCGGTGAGCAGAGACAGGGGAACCCCCCGCACCTGTGGATGGGGAATCGTCAACCCCAGGGCACCCCCCGGATCTGTGGATGGGGAATCACCCACCCCAGGGCACCCCAGTGGGGAATCACCCACCCTGTGCCACCCCCCGGACCCCTAAATGGGGAATCATCAACCCTGTGCCACCCCCTGGACCCCTAAATGGGGAATCATCAACCCTGTGCCACCCCCCGGACCTGTGAATGGGGAATTGTCAACCCTGTGCCACCCCCCAGACCCTTAAATGGGGAATCACCCACCCTGTGCCACCCCCCGGACCTGTGAATGGGGAATTGTCAACCCTGTGCCACCCCCCAGACCCTTAAATGGGGAATCACCACCCTGTGCCACCCCCTGAGCCCCTAAATGGGGAATCATCCACCCTGTGCCACCCCCTGAGCCCCTAAATGGGGAATCACCCACCCCAGGGCACCCCTGGACCCCTAAATGGGGAATCATCCACCCTGTGCCACCCCCTGGACCCCAAAACGGGGAATCACCTCTCCTGTGCCACCCCTGGACCCCCAAACGTGTCCTGACCCCTCCTCCTGCCCCCCAGGACCCCCCAAAACATGCCCTGACACTCCCCCCCCACCGCCCCCTCTCAGACTCCCAAATGTTCCCTGACAAACCCCCAGACCCCCAAAATGGGCTCTGACCCCCAGGACCCCCAAAATGGGGTCTGGACCCCTCAGGACCCCTAAATGGGGTCTGACCCCCAGGACCCCAAAATAGGAGGTCTGCCCCCGATGCCCTCAGGACCCCCTAAATGGGGTCTGACACCCCAGGACACCCAGGACCGCCAAAATGGGGTCTGACCCTCCCCAGGACCCCTCCAGGAGCCCCAAAATGGGGTCTGACCCCCCCCAGGACCCCCTAAATCGGGTCTGACCTCCCCAGGACCCCCAAAACGGGGTCTGACCCTCCCCAGGACCCCCTCAGGACCCCCAAAATGGGGTCTGACCCCCCCGTGCCCCCCCAGGTTCCTGTTGCAGCAGGTGAAGTGCAGGGAGGGGTTCCGGCTCGTCATGGAGGTAGGGAAAGGTTGGGATTGGGGTTTGGATTGGGGGTTTAGGGGGGCTTTGGGACCCTAAATGTGCTGGGGGAGTGGAATTCCAGGGGTTTAATCCCTCTTGGGGTGGGGAGTTAAATCCTAGAGGGGTCAAATCCTCGAGGTTTATAATCCCAGAGGATTGAATCCTCCTGGAATTCAAATCCCAGAGGTTGAAATCCCAGAAATTTAAACCCTGGGATTTAAATCCCCCTGGAATTTTCCGCTCCAAGGGTTTAAATCCCGGAGGATCAAACCCTGCGGGTCCCAATCCCAGAGAATTCAATCCATGAGGTCAAATTCCCCCCGAATCCTGGGAATTGGGATCTCCTTCCCCACCCTCTCCCTGTTCCCACAGCCGGAATTCATCAACATCTGCTTCTGGTTCATCCCCCCGAGCCTGAGGGGCCAGGAGGAATCCCCGGAATTCTGGGAAAAGCTGGGAAAGGTGAGCTCAGAATCCCCAAATCCCAACCACAATCCCTGCCCCAAATCCTAAAAAATCCAAAAAAACCCCCAAAATCTCCAAAAGTCCTCCTCCCAAAATCCCCCAAATCCCAAAACATCCCTAAAAATCCTCCCAAATTCCCTTCCAATTCCCCCTCCCCAAATCCTGAAATGCCTGGAAAAAAAATCTCTTAAAATCCCCCCCAAAAATCGGAAAAAAATTGGGAAAAAATTTTAAAACAATTTTAAAAAAAAATCCCTTAAAATCTCCCCCAAAAATTGGAAAAAAATTGGGAAAATATTTTTTAAAGAAATTTAAAAATTTTTAAAAAAACTGGAAAAAATCAGAAAAAAATTGGAAAAAAATTGGAAAAAAATTGGAAAAAAATTGGAAAAAAATTGGAAAAAAATTGGAAAAAAAGTTTAAAAGTCAAAAAAATTAAAAAATCAAAAAAATCATTAAAAAAATTGAAAAAATGAAAAAAAATCAGAAAAAATCGAAAGAAATTGGGAAAAATTGACAAAAAAATTTTTTAAAAAAGGAAAATAATCCCCAAAAATTCCCCCAAATCCCAATTAACTGCCAGCTGTTCCGTGTCCCCTCCCCAGGTGGCCCCGGCCATCAAGGAGCGCATGATGCGAAGGGGGTCCCTGCTGGTGGGGTACCAACCCCAGGGGTCCCGCGTCAACTTCTTCAGGGGGGTCGTCACCAGCCCGGCCGTCACCCGGAGGGACCTGCAATTCCTGCTGGATGAGATCCAGGAGCTGGGCCAGGACCTGTGATCCCCCCCCAAAACAGGAGCACAACATCACTCGAAAAATCGCCCCCAAAATGCCAAATAATCCCCCCCAAAATCTCAAATAATCCCCTCCCAAATCACCCCAAATCGCCAAAAAATCCTCCCCGAAATCACTAATAATCCTCTCCCCAAAATCGCCGCAAATTGCAAAAAAACTACCCAAAAAAAAATCAAAAAAATTGCCCCCAGAACCCTCCCAAAAATCCACAAAAACCTCCCCAATAATCCCTAAAAATAATCCATAAAAATCTCCCACAAAGCATCCAGAAAAATCCTCCCATAAATCTCCCCAAAATGCTCCCAAATCCCCCCGAAATCTCCCCAAATGCTCCCAAATCCCCCAAAATCTCCCAGTAACGGGGACTTGGATTCTCTTGTCGAATTGTCGGGGGTTATTTTGTTCTCTTCGCTCTGTTTTGAGTAAATTCCATTTATAATTCATTTCATTTGTTTCGTTTATCGTTCTTTCCTTCCCTCCCTTTGCTCGAGGGGTGCAAATTTTGGATGATTTTGGGGGCAAGGGGGTTTTCTGTTCTATCAGAGGTTCCTCCTCCCAACTCCACCCAAGGCACAAAGGGGCAACAGCAAAGAGATAAAAGGGGAAAAATCAGGCATTTTGGTGAAAAAAAAAAAGGGACTACAAAGATCCAAAGGGAAAAAGGCTTTGGTCAGGAAAAGTGGGGAAGATCTTTGGCTCCTGGAGGGGTTTTACCTCAACCAGTGCCCAGCACAGGGGGACAATCCCTGCCCTGCTCCTGCTTCCCACAGTATTCCTGACCCAGGAGTGCCAGGATGCCTTGGAATGATGTCAAGAATCATCTCCTCACGTTTACCGCCCTTTTCCCCTCACATTTCCCACCCTTTTCCCTCATATTCCTCACCCCTTCTCCCTCACATTTCCCACCCTGTTCCCCTCACATTTCCTGCCATTTTTCCCTCACATTTCCCGCCTTTTTCCCCTCACATTTCCCACCCTTTCTCCCTCATTTCCCACTCTTTTCTCCTCATAATTTCCTCCCTTTTCCCCTCACATTTCCACCCTTTTCCCCTCACATTTCCTGCCATTTTTCCCTCACATTTCCCGCCTTTTCCCCCTCACATTTCCCACCCTTTTCCCCTCAAGTTTTCCCGCCCTTTTCCCCTCACGTTTACCGCCCTTTTCCCCTCACATTTCCTGCTCTTTTTTCCTCATAATTCCCTCCCTTTTCCCCTCACATTTCCCACCCTTTTCCCCTCACATTTCCCACCCTTTCTTCCTCATATTTCTCACCCTTTCTCCCTCATATTTCTCGCCCCTTCTCCCTCATATTTCTCGCCCCTTCTCCCTCATATGTCCCGCCCTTTCTCCCTCACGTTTCCTACTCTTTTCTCCTCATAATTCCCATCCTTTTCCCCTCACATTTCCCACCCTTTCTCCTCATTTCCACCCTTTTCCCGTTTCCCTTTTCCCCTCACATTTCCTGCTCTTTTCTCCTCATAATTCCCACCCTTTTCCCTCACATTTCCCACCTTTTCCCCCTCACATTTCCTACCCTTCTCCCCTCACATTCCCTGCTCTTTTCTCCTCATAATTCCTGCCCTTTTCCCCTCACATTTCCTGCCCTTTTCCCCCTCACAGTTCCCGCCATTTCTCCCTCATTTCCCACCCTTTTCCCCTCAAGTTTTCCTGCCTTTTTCCCCTCACATTTCCCACCCTTTCTCCCTCACATTTCCCGCCCTTCTCCCCTCACATTTCCTACCCTTTTCCCCTCACGTTTCTCACCCTTTCCCCCTCACATTTCCCGCCCTTTTCCCCTCATTTCTCACCCTTTCCCCTCATTTTCCCGCCCTTTCTCCCTCACGTTTCCTGCTCTCTTCTCATCATAATCCTCTCCCTTTCCCCCGCACATTTCCCACCCTTTCTCCCTCACAATTCCTGCCCTTCTCCCCTCACATTTCCTGCTCTTTTCTCCTCATAATTCCCGCCCTTTTTCCCCTCACGTTTCCCACCCTTTTCCCCTCACATTTCCCGCCTGTTCCTCAAATTTACTGCCCTTTTCCCCCTCACGTTTACTGCCCTTTTCCCCCTCACGTTTACTGCCCTTTTCCCCTCACATTTCCTGCTCTTTTCTCCTCATAATTCCCTCCCTTTCTCCCTCACGTTTCTCACCCTTTCCCCCTCACATTTCCCGCCCTTCTCCTCACATTTCCTGCTCTTTTCTCATAATTCCCTCCCTTTTTCCCCTCACGTTTCCCACCCTTTTCCCCCTCACATTTCCCACCCTTTCCCCTCACATTTCCCACCCTTTCTCCCTCATAGTTTTTCTGCCCTTTCTCCCTCACGTTTCAATCCTTTCCCTCACGTTTCTCACCCTTTCTCCTCATATTTCTCGCCCTTCCTCCCTCACGTTCCTACTCTTTTCTCATCATAGTCTCTCCTTTCCCCCTATTTCCCTGCTCTTCTCCTCATTTCCAATCCTTTTCCCCTCACATTTCCTGCTCTTTTCTTCTCATAATTCCCGCCCTTTTCCCCTCACATTTCCCACCTTTCCCCCCTCATGTTTACTGCTCTTTTCCCCCTCACGTTTACTGCCCTTCTCCCCTCACATTTCCTGCTCTTTTTTCCTCATAATTCCCTCCCTTTTCCCCCTCACATTTCCCACCCTTCCTCCCTCACGTTCCCCAGCCTTTCTCCCTCATTTCCCACCCTTTTCCCCTCAAGTTTTCCTGCCCTTTTCCCCTCACGTTTCCAATCCTTTTCCCCTCACATTTCCCACCCTTTCTCCCTCACGTTCCCCAACCTTTCTCCCTCCCGTTTCCCGCCCTTTCTCCCCTCACGTTTTCCCCCCCATCATTCCCTCCTGGGCTTCCCCCAGGTGCAGACGTACCTGAGGCGGCTCCTCAGCCCATCCCCACCATGGACTGGTTCCACTGCAACCGCTGCTATCGCCAGGACGGTGCCCAGTTTGCCGTCACCAGCTGCGGCCACATCCTGTGCCAGGACTGCGGGGGCACAGGTAGAAACACCCCGAAACAGAGCTGGGGGGGGGAGGGGGGTTTGAACCCTAAAAATGCTGAAAAGGGGGGAATTTCCTTCAATTTAACTCCTCAAAATGAAGGGAAAATGGCGGCTGGAGACAATAAAATGGGTTCCTCCCTCAATTTAAACCTCTAAAATATTGGAAAAAAGAGGGATTTTCCTCGATTTTAAATTCCTCAAAAGATGGGAAAAGGGGGATTTTCCCTCTATTTAAACCCTTCAAATGGTGGAAATGGAGGATCACACCTCAATTTAAGGCAGGTTTTCCTTCAACAGAAACACTTAAAATCTCAGGTGAAAAGGGGGGATCCCCCTCAGTTTAAGCCCAGAATAATGGAAAACAAGGTTTTTCGCTGAATTTAAACCCTTTTTCACCTCAAATCTGCCTTTTTTTCTGCTTTTCTCACCTTTTTTCTCCCCTTCCTACAGGTCCCTGCCCCATCTGTTCCTCCGCCTGCCGCTACCTGCCCCTGTCCCACCAGGCCAGTCATGTCCCTTTTCGCCTCACAGTTTCCCACCCTTTCCCCCTCACGTTTCCCACCCTTTTCCCTCACATTTCCCACCCTTTTCCCCTCACATTTCCCTCCATTTTCCCCTCACATTTCCTGCCTTTTCCCCTCACGTTTTCCTTCATTTCCCCTCACGTTTCCCATCCTTTCCCTCACATTTACTCGTTTCCCTCTATCCTCCCTCCCACATTTCCCACCCTTTCTCCCTCACATTTCCCACCCTTTCCCCTCACGTTTTCCACCCTTTCCCTCATTCACCTTTTCCCATCCATTTCCCCCTTTTCCCTATTTCCCTTTTCCCTCACATTTCCGCCCTTTCTCCCTCACATTTCCCACCCTTTCTCCCTCACATTTCCTGCCCTTTCTCCCTCATATTTCTTGCCCTTTCTCCCTCACATTTCCCTCCCTTTCCCCCTCACATTTCCCTCCCTTTTCCCCCTCACATTTCCCACCCTTTTCCCCTCACGTTTCCAATCCTTTTCCCCTCACATTTCCCAGCCTTTCTCCCTCACATTTCCCACCCTTTCTCCCTCACATTTCCCGCCCTTTTCCCCTCACATTTCCCACTCCCGTCCCTCCCTTTTTTCTCTCCCTTTTGCCACCCTCACCCCTCCTCACCCTTTTTCCACCTTTTTTTACCCCCCTCCTCCCCCTTTCTTCCCCCTTCCCAACAGATGCGCCCCCAGGACAAGCTTTTCTTCAAGACTCCAACATCCATCGCCCTCAAGCACCTCTCCCACATCTCACAGGTGAGGGGGACGAGGGTGACGAGGAGGATGTGGGTGACAAGGGGACAGCACTCCAGCCCCGTCCCCGGCCCCCTGGCAGGTGTGGCGGTTCCAGATGACACAAGTGCAGCTGCTGCTGGACTCGCTGCGGGACTCGGCTCGCCGGGCACAGGCGGCGCTGGAAGAGGCCAAGGAGGAGCTGGCGGAGAGGAGGAGGTGAGGGGAACCCTCCCTGCTGGGTGAGGGGGTCCCACCTGGGGGTCCCCAACCATCATTCCCTCTCCCTTCACAGAGAGGTGGAGTCGCTTCGCCGGGAGAACGCGGAGCTGCGCCGAGCTCAGGTGACCCCCCAAAATCTCCCTGTCATGGCCCTCTGTGCCCCCCCAAAAAAATGCCCCCAACCTCTCCCCACAGGTCTCCGGGCTGGCTCAGGGCAGCCGCAGCAGCACCCCCCGCCCCATCGGCATCACCTCCCCCTCGCAGTCAGGTAATGGACCCCCCACATTTTAAGGAGGGGGTCTCCCACCACATTTTAAGTGGGGGTCCTTCACCATAAAATCCTTCCCCTCCACCTCCCCCTTCCTCATGGAGTCCCTCTAAATTTCTCCTCCCTCCTCCCTTCCAGTGACCCCCAGCCCCGCCCGTGCAGTTCAGTGCCAGGTGGTCAGGTGAGGAGGGGAGCACCCAAATTTGGGTGGGGTCCCCAAGTGTAGAGGGGATCCCCAACCCTCCCACCCCTTCTCTGCAGCCGCTCGGCCCTAGTGGAGACCCCGCGGTCCCGCAGCACCTCAGTGTGGCAGGTGAGACCTCCCCACCACTCCCTAGTATGGGGTACCCCAAAATAGGGGGCGTTTCCCACAATGCTTTGCACCACAGCCACAGGCGGGCGGAGCCTACAGGGAGTCAGGGACCCCTCTGGCCTCCAGCGTGGGTGAGCGGCCCCAAATCCCTGAGGTTTTACCCCAAAATGCTGCCTCCAGCACAACTCCACTGCATCCCTAGCCCCTCTCGCCGCCCCACCCTAGGCTCCCGCCCCTCAAATCAAGCCCCGCCCCACCTTTAAGCCCCACCCCTTCATTAACCCACACTCTTTTCTCCAATGACTTCCCCTAAGCCACGCCCCTCTTTTGCACAGGCCACACCCCATTTACAACCAAGCCCCGCCCCTTCATTTACCACGCCCCCTTCTCCTTCTCTACCCAATCCCGACCCTTGTATCTGTAAACCCCGCCCCTTCCCTTCAAAGTACGCATCTCCCCTCTCATCTGACCACGCCCCCTCCACTTAAGCCCCGCCCCCAGCGCCGTCTCCAAGCTCCGCCCACGGGCAGGGCCGCAGGTGAGTGTCAAGGTGGGGGTTGGGGGATTTCGGGGTGCAGACCCCTGATCCCTCCTCCCTCCCCCAGGACCACCCCTGGACCTGCTCTGTGGGTCCCCTGGGCCACCCCGGCGCTGCCCAGAGCTGTCTCTCCTGGTGAGACCCCAAAACCCCACGGAGGGACCCCAAAACCCCTGATCCCTCCCTGTAGGGACCCCAAAACCCCGGGGAGGGACCCCAAAACACTCTCCGGTGGGACCCCAAAACACCCTTGGTGGGACCCCAAAACACCCTTGGTGGGACCGCAAAACCCCAGGGAGGGATCCCCCAGAGAGGACCCTGAGGACCCCTTGATCCCTCCCAGGGACCCCAAAACGCCCTTGGTGGGACCGTAAAACCCCTTGAAGGACCTCAGAAAACCCCATGGAGGGACCCCAAAACCCCGTGGTGGGACCCCAAAACACCCTTGGTAGGACCCCAAAACCCCAGGAGGGACCCTAAACCCCATGGGAGGACCCCTAGAAACCCCTCTGGGTTTCTCCTGTTCCTGTAGGGACCCCAAGCCCCCCTGTACCCCCCTAATGCCCCTTTTTGCTCCCTCAGTGCCCCCCATGACTGGGACAAGCGAGGGGCAGGTACTGCAATGGACTGGGGGCTTTGGGATTATACTGGGAGACACTGGGAGGGCCATGTGGGGTCACTGGGAGAGACTGGGATGAACTGGGAGGGGCTTCAGGAGGTGGGAGAGACTGGGAGGGGGAATTTGGGGGAACTGGGAGGGAGTGGGAGGGGGATTTGGGGGAACTGGGAGGGGGATTTGGGGGAACTGGGAGGGCTTTGGGGGTGACTGGGAGGAACTGGGAGGGGTTGTTGGTTCTGTGGCCACGCCCTCAAATTCAGTCGCCACCCCCTTAAATTCAGTCGCCACTCCCCAAATTCAGTCGCCACCCCCTCAAATTCAGTCGCCACCCCCTCAAATTCAGTCGCCACCTCCAATTTCCCCCCACTCAGGGCCCCCCTCCGTGGGGGGCGCGGGAGCGTTCCCGGCGGGATCGGGATCCCCTCGGGATCGGGATCGGGCTCGGGCCGGAGCCCCGGCGGTAGCGGAGCCGCAGGAGCCGGGCCGGGAATGTTTGGAAGATTCCCGGGATTCCTCCGGGCCCTGGAGAGGTTGGGAAAGGAGAGTTAAAAAAAAGAACAACAAACAAACAAAAAAACCCACAAAAAACCCTCGCCGGTTTTGGGCCGATTTGGGGCTGTTTTGGTGGTTTCTTTCAGCGCCCTTTGGGGGGTCCTGAGAGAGGGAGGGGGATTTTGGGGGTCCTGAGAAGGGGAGGGGAATGGGGGGATTTTGGGGGTTCCTGAGAGGGGAGGGAGTGGGGGGACTTTTGGGGGTCCTGAGGGATGGGAGTTGAAGTGGGCTCAAAAAGGGAAGGGGGACTGGGGAGCTCCTGAGACGGGGATGAGTTGGGGACCTCCCGGGTGTTGGGGGGTTCTCTGGGATGAGGAGGGGATCCTGGGGGGTCTCTGGTGCGACCCTGGGACCCCAACACCTTTTAAATTTCTTCAAGACCCCAAAATCCGCTTTTTTCCCCAAAAATTTGGGGCTCCCCGCGCCGCCCCCCTCCGGGCCGCTGGGGGGCGCCAAGCGCCGCCGCTCTCCGTCTCTCCGGCCGCGCCCCTTCCTGCGCTGATTGGCGGGGAGCGCGGGAGGGGGGCGGGGCTTGAGGGCGGGAGGCGCCGGTCATTGGACGAGAGTGAAGGGCGAGGGGCGGGGCCTGGGCGAGGCGGAGCCGGATTGGTGGAGGGGCCCGCGGGGGGGCGGGGCGCGGGTTTGGTGTGCGTCACTTCCGGGTTAGCGGCGGTTTCCGCCGACCGCTGGGCCAGAGCCGCCCCTAGGACCCCCCAGGACCTCACGCGATCCCCAAATACCCCCAGGACCTCCCTGGGATCTCCCCAGGACCTCCCTGGGATCCCCCAGATACCCCCAGGACCTCCTGGGACCCCCGAAATACCCCCAGGACCTCCTGGGGCCCCAAATACCCCCAGGACCCCCAAATACCCCAGGACCCCCAGGACTCCCTGGGATCCCCAAATACCCCGGACCCCCAGGTACTCCTGGGACCCCCAAATACCCCAGGACCTCCCCGGGACCCCCAAATACCCCAGGATCCCCGGGACCCCCACATACCCCAGGACCCCCAGGACCTCCCTGGGACCCCAAATACCCCCAGGACCTCCTGGGATCTCCCAGGACCCTCATGACCCCCTTAGACCCCTTTAAATCCCCCGGACTCCTTGACCCCTAAACCCCCAGGACCCTCCCAGTGCCCCTCTCCCCGGCCTCCGTGTGCCCCGGGTGGTCGTGGGGTGCCGGGGATGCCCCCCGGCCATGTGGTACGTCATGCAGAGCGTGCAGAGCAAGTACTCGCTGTCCGAGCGGCTCATCCGAACCATCGCGGCCATCCGCTCCTTCCCCCGCGACAGCGTCGAGGACCTCATCGGCAGGGTGAGACCCTCGGGGGGATGGGAGAGACCCCCGGGGGGATGGGAGAGACCCCCGGGGATGGGAGAGACCCCCGGGGATGGGGGGATCCTCATCGGCATGGTGAGAGCCCCGGGGCATGGGAGACCCTCATCGGCAGGGTGGGTTTCTGACCCCAGGGTGGTCCCGGTGCCCCAGGGTGGGTTTGGTGATCCCAGGGTGGATTTACTGATCCCAGGGTGGGTTTGGTGATCCCAGGGTGGATTTACTGATCCCAGGGTGGGTTTGGTGATCCCAGGGAGGGTTTCCTGCCCCCCAGGGACTGTTCCTGACCTCAGGCTAGTCCCTGTGCCCCCAGGGAGGGCTTCCTGCCCCCCAGGGTGTGTTTCCTGACCCCGGGGTGTTTCCTGTGCACCCAGGGAGGGTTTGGTGATCCCAGGGTGGTGGGTGCTCCCCAGGGAGTGTTCCTGACCCTGAGGTGCTCCCTGTCCCCCAGGGTGGGTTTCCTGCCCCCCAGGGTGGGTTTGGTGATCCCAGGGTATGCTCCTGACCCCGGGGTGCTCCCTGTCCCCCGGGGTGCTCCCTGTCCCCCGGGGTGCTCCCTGTCCCCCAGGGCGGTCCCTGTACCCCCTAGGGTGGGTTTCCTGACCCCCAGGGAGTGTTCCTGACCCTGGGGTGCTTCCTGTGCACGCTGGGTGGGTTTGGTGATCCCAGGGTGGTCCCTGTGCCCCTCAGGGAGTGCTCCTGACCCTGAGGTGCTCCCTGCCCCCCAGGGTGGTCCCTGTACCCCCCAGGGTGGGTTTGGTGATCCCAGGGAGTGCTCCTGACCCCGGGGTGCTCCCTGTCCCCATGCCGCCCCAGGGTGTTCCTGCTGATCCCAGGGTGGTCCCTGTGCCCCAGGAGTGTTCCTGACCCTAGGCTGGTCCCTATGCCTCCCAAGGTGGGTTTGGTGCATCCTAGATCCGAGGTGCTCCCTGTCCCCGGGTGTTCTCCTGTACCCCAGGTGAGTTTCCTGCCCCCCAGGAGTGGGTTCGCTGACCCCGAATGGTCCTTGTGACCCCAGGGAGTGTTCCTGACCCCAGGGTGGTCTTTGGTGATCCCAGGGTGGCTCCTGTGCTCCCCAGAGGTGGGTCTCCTGCCCCCCAGGATTCCCTGTACCTCTGGGTCCTGTCCCCCAGGGTGGCCTTCCTGGCCTCCCAGGTGGGTTTGGTGATCCCAGAGAGTGCTCCTGACCCCGGGGTGCTCCCTGTCCCCCAGGGCGGGTTTGCTGATCCCAGCGTGGGTTTGGTGATGCCAGGGAGGGTTTCCTGCTCCCCAGGGAGTGTTCCTGACCCCAGGCTTGTCCCTGTGCCCCCCAGGGTGGGTTTGCTGACCCCAGGGTGGGTTTCATGCTCCCCAGGGAATGTTCCTGACCCCAGGGTGGGTTTGGTGACCCCAGGGAGTGCTCCTGACCCCAGGGTGGGTTTCCTGCCCCCCAGGGTGGGTTTGGTGATCCCAGGGTGGTCCCTGTGCCCCCAGGGAGTGTTCCTGACCCCAGGCTGGTCCCTGTGCCCTCCAGGGTGGGTTTGGTGATCCCAGTGAGTGTTCCTGACCCCGGGGTCCTCCCTGTGCCCCCAGGGTGTGTTTCCTGCCCCCCAGTGAGTGTTCCTGACCCCGGGGTGGGTTTGGTGACCCCCCTGAGTGTTCCTGCCTCCCAGGGTGGGTTTGATGATCCCAGGGAGTATTCCTGACCCTGAGGTGCTCCCTGTCCCCCAGGGTGGTCCCTGTACCCCCCAGGGTGGGTTTCCTGCCCCCAGGGAGGGTTCCTAACCCCGGGGTGGTCCCTGTCCCCCAGGGTGGGTTTGGTGATCCCAGGGTGGTCCCTGTGCCCCCCAGGGAGTGTTCCTGACCCCGGGGTATCTTTGCTGACCCCAGAGTGCTCCTTGTCCCCCAGGGTGGGTTTCCTGCCCCCCAGGGAGTGTTCCTGACCCCAGGCTAGTCCCTGTGCCTCCCAGGGTGGGTTTGGTGACCCCAGGGAGTGTTCCTGACCGCGGGGTGCTCCCTGTCCCCCAGGGTGACTTTCCTGCCCCCAGGGTGGGTTTGGTGATCCCAGGGTGTGCTCCTGACCCCGGGATGGTCCCTGTGCCCCCAGGGTGGTCCCTGTGCCCCCCAGGGAGTGTTCCTGACCCCATACTGCTCCCTTTCCCCAGGGAGCAGACGTGAACTGCCTGCACGGGACGCTGAAGCCGCTGCACTGCGCCTGCATGGTGGCTGATGCCGACTGCGTGGAGCTGCTGCTGCAGAAGGGAGCTGAGGTGGGGCTGGGGGAGCCCAAAACCATCACCAAAACAACAAAAACGAGGAGTTCTCCTGGCAAAAGGGGATTTGGGCACTGGAAGGGGCTCCCGAAAGGTGCCAGAGCTCGGGGAGGGGGTTGGGGTTTTTTGGGGATCAGAGGGGTTTTGAGGGGGTCCTGTGCAGGGGTAGGGGTTGGAGGGGATGATCCTTGTGGGGTTTTTGGGGGGATTAAACTGGATTTAGGGTTAGGTTTAACTTAATTTAAGCCTAAACTGAATTTGATTTAAGGTTAGGGTTCATTTAAAGGTTAAGGTCAGGTTAGAGTTATGTTCAGGTCAGGTTTCAGTTGGGTTTAGGTCAGGTTTCAGTTAAGGTTAGGTTGTTGAGATCAGGTCTAAGTTAGGTTTAGATCAGGTATAAGTTAAGGTCAGGTTCAGGTCAGGCTTCAGTTAGGTCTATGTCAGGTTCCAGCCAGGTGTAAGTTAAGGCCAGGTGTTAGTTAAGACCAGTTTTCAGCCGGGTTTAAGTCTAGGTTGTTTAGGTCAGGTTTAAGTTAAGGTCAGGTTTATGTCAGGTTCCAACCAGGTGTAAATTAAGGCCAGGTTTCAGTTAGGTTTATGCTGTTTTCTGCTGGTTTCGGTTAAGCCCAGGTTCCAGCCAGCTTTAAGTTAAGGTCAGGTTGAGTTAGGTTTAGGCCAGGTTCCAGTGAGGTTTATACCAGGTTTCAGTGAGGTTTATGCCAGGTTCCAGTGAGGTTTATGCCAGGTTGAATGAGGTTTATATGAGGTTTAAGTGAGGTTTATGCCAGGTTCCAGTGAGGTTTATATCAGGTTTAAGTGAGGTTTATGCCAGGTTCCAGTGAGGTTTATACCAGGTTCCAGTGAGTTTATACCAGGTTCCAGTGAGGTTTATGCGAGGTTCCAGTTAAGGCCAGGTTCCAGTGAGGTTTATGCCAGGTTCCAGTGAGTTTATACCAGGTTCCAGTGAGGTTTATGCCAGATTTCAGTGAGGTTTATGCCAGATTTCAGTGAGTTTATGCCAGGTTCCAATCAGGTTTATACCAGTTTTCAGTAAGGTTTATGCCAGGTTTAAGTGAGGTTTATGCCAGGTTCCAGTGAGTTTATACCAGGTTCCAGTGAGTTTATACCAGGTTCCAGTGAGTTTATACCAGGTTCCAGTGAGGTTTAGGCCAGGTTCTAGTCAGGTTTATACCAGGTTCCAGTCAGGTTTATACCAGATTTCAGTGAGGTTTATACCAGGTTCCAGTGAGTTTATACCAGGTTCCAGTGAGGTTTATACCAGGTTCCAGTGAGGTTTAGGTCAGGTTCCAGTGAGTTTATGCCAGGTTCCAGTGAGTTTATACCAGGTTCCAGTGAGTTTATACCAGGTTCCAGTCAGGTTTATACCAATTTTCAGTGAGTTTATGCCAGGTTCCAGTGAGTTTATACCAGGTTCCAGTCAGGTTTATGCCAGGTTCCAGTGAGTTTATGCCAGGTTCCAGTCAGGACCAGTCCCAGCCCGCACTCCCAATCCACACCCATCTCTGTCCCCCATCCCCTGTCAGGTGAACGCCCTGGACGGCTACAGCCGCACCGCCCTTCACTACGCGGCCGAGAAGGACGAGGCGTGCGTGGAGCTGCTGCTGGAGTTCGGCGCCGACCCCGACGCGGCCGACGGCAACCGCGACACCCCCTGCACTGGGCGGCGTTCCGCAACCGCGCGGGCTGCGCGCGGGCGCTGCTGGAGGCCGGCGCGCGGGTGGACGCGCGGGACCGCAACGCCGACACCCCGCTGGGCTGGGCGGCCGCCAAGGCCAACCTGGAGAGCGTGGCGGTGCTGCTGGACTTCGGCGCCGAGGCGCGCGCCCGCAACCGCCAGGGCCACGGCCCGGCCTCGCGCCTGGCGGCGCTGCTGCTGCGCGGGCCCCGCTGCGAGCGCGAGGAGTCCTGCCTGGAGCTGCTGGGCCGCGCCGCCGGCCGCCTGGAGCTGCGGCGGGACGGGGACGGGGATGGAATGACGCTCCAGGAGGCGGTGGCGGCGGTTTCGGAGCGGGACAGGCGGCTGGGAGAGCGGCTGGGCCGGCTGTGCGCGGCTCCCGCCAGCCTGCAGGGCCTGGCGCGCTGCGCCGTGCGCCGCTGCCTCGGCCACCGCTTCCTGCCCGACGCCGTCGAGGGGCTGCCCCTGCCCCCCAGCCTCAAGGAGTACCTGCTGCTCCTCAGGTGAGGGACAGAAACTGCCCCCCAGCCTCAAGGAGTACCTGCTGCTCCTCAGGTGAGGAAAACCTGGGAGCAGATTCCTCCAGGAGCACCTGCTGCTCCTCAGGTGAGGGGAAACCACCCCAGAGCTGCTGCCACTGCCCACCCAGCCTCAAGGAGCACCTCCTGCTGCTCAGCTAGAGAAAACCTGGGAGCAGATTCTTCCAGGAGGACCTGCTGCTCCTCAGGTTAAGGACAGAAACTGCCCACCAGCCTCAAGGAGTACCTGCTGCTGCTCAGCTAAAGGAAATCTGGGAGCAGATTCCTCCAGGAGTACCTGCTGCTCCTCGGGTGAGGGGAAACCACCCTGGAGCTACTGCCACTGCCCACCAGACTCAAGGAGTATCTGCTGTTCCTCAGGTGAAGGACAGAAACTGCCCACCAGCAAGGAGTACCTCCTGCTGCTCAGCTAAAGGAAACCTGGGAGCAGATTCCTCCAGGAGCACCTGCTGCTCCTCAGGTGAGGGACAGAAACTGCCCACCAGCTTCAAGGAGTACCTGCTGCTCCTCAGCTAAAGAAAACCTGGGAGCAGATTCCTCCAGGAGGACCTGCTGCTGCTCACCTGAGGAAAACCTGGGAGCAGATTCCTCCAGGAGTACCTGCTGCTCCTCAGGTGAGGGGAACCAGGGAGCAGATTCCTCCAGGAGCACCTGCTGCTGCTCAGCTAAAGAAGACCTGGAAGCAGATTCCTCCAGGAGGACCTGCTGCTCCTCAGGTGAGCAGAAAAACTCAAGAGACAAACACCCTGGAGCTACTGCCACTGCCTGCCAGCCTCAAGGCATATCTGCTGCTGAGCTAAAGAAAATCTGGGAGCAGATTCCTCCAGGAGTGTTTCCTGCTCCTCAGCTGAGGGACAAAAACTCTGGAGCAGCTTCCTCAGGGAGAACCTGCCGTTCCTCAGCTGGGTGAAAACCTGGGAGCAGCTTCCTCAGGGAAACCGTGCTGCTCTTCATCCCATGAAAACCTTGGAGAGGCTTCCTCGAGGAGCATTTTGTGCTGCTCAGCTGGTGAAATCCTTGGAGCAGCGGGTTCCCCTCCCAATTATATCCCAGCTCTTGCTTTAACACGGCCTCTGCTTCCCGGGGTTCCTTCTGGCTCGGGGTGGGGGGAGGGAAAGGAAGGATTTCCAGGGAATTCTCCTTCTGGGGAGGTGGGAAATGAAGGGAAGGTCCTGTGGGACCCAGGGAAGCTCCAGGCTGGAATTCCCTGAGCTGGAATCCCAGGGAAGCTCCAGGTTGGAATTCCCTGAGCTGGAACCCCAGGAAAGCTCCAGGCTGGAATTCTGTGAATTGGAACCCCAGGAAAGCTCCAGGCTGGAATTCTGTGAATTGGAACCCCAGGGAAGCTCCAGGCTGGAATTCCCTGAGCTGGAATCCCAGGCATGGACCCAGGGAAGCTCCAGGCTGGAATTCTGGGAATTGGAACCCCAGGGAAGCTCCAGGCTGGAATTCTGGGAATTGGAATCCCAGGGAAGCTCCAGGCTGGAATTCCCTGAGCTGGAATCCCAAGGGAAGGGGGGGGGGGCTGCATTTGCCTCCTGCAGGGAGGAAACAATTCCCAGAATTCCCAGGGGATTTTTTTGGAGCACAACACGAGGTGAGGGGGGGGAGTTTTTATTGAAGCCTCCGAATTCCAGGGTGTGGGGGGAGGGGAGGGTGTGGATTTCACACCCACAGAGAACCCTTTTTTACCCCTCCAAAAACCCCCAAAACCCCCCCAAAAAGCCTCTTCCCAAGGAGCCACTTCCCAGAAGGTTCCTGAGGATTCCCAGAAGGTTCCTGAGGGTTCCTGAAGATTCCCAGGAGGTTCCTGAGGGTTCCTGAGGGATCTCTGAGGGTTCTCAGAGGATTCCCAGAGGGTTCCTGAGGATCCTCAGAAGGTTCTGAGGGTTCTTAGAGTTCCTGAGGGTCCCAGAGGATTCTCAGGGGGTCCCTGAGGGTTCCAGAAGATTCCCAGGAGGTTCCTGAGGATTCTCAGAGGGTTCCTGAGGGTTCCCAGAGGGTTCTTGAGGGTTCCCAGAGGGTTCCTGAGGATTCTCAGAAGGTTTTGAGGGTTCTCAGAAGGTTCCCAGGGGGTTCCTGAGTGTTCCAAAGGGTCCCAGAGGGTCCCTGAGGGTTCCCAGGGGTTCCTGAGGATTCCAAAGGGTTCCTGAGGGTTCTTAGAGGGTTCTCAGAGGATTCTCAGAAGGTCCCTGAGGGTTCTTAGAGGGTTCCTGAGGGCTTCAGAAGGTTCTCTGAGGGTTCCAGAGGGTTCCTGAAGGTTCCAGAGGCTCCCAGGGGCGGCCCAGGCTCACGGGCCGGCCTCAGGCGCGGCGATCTTGCGGGTGAGGTGCTCCAGGTGGGCGGTCTCCGAGGTGTCCAGCTCCGTGTGGTACTTGGCCAGGATCTTGAGGATGGGCCGCAGCTTCAGCCACCACTGCTCCCTGGGCAGGCGGTGCCTGGGGGGGACACAGAGGTGATTCCTGCCTGTCCCCAGCCCTTGTTTGCCCCTCCAGGGGGGTGTTTGGGTGGGTGTTTGGGTGGGGGTCCTACTCGAAGTCGGTCTCGTCCTTGAGCTGGGTGACGGGCTGGAAGACGAGGCTGCGCTTGCGCATCCCCAGCAGGCAGGCGGAGTCGGCCGTGTTGGCGAAGATCCGACCTGGGAAGGGCAGGGAAAGGTTCAGGGAGGGGGAAAAGGGGTGTTGGGGATCCCCCCATGCAGTAGAGGAGAGCCCACAAGTGCAGCGCTGGGAGGGGGATGGGGGTGGTGGAGGAGGAGGGGAGGGTTTGGGGGGTAAGGGAAGTTGGGGGAAAGGGGGTTGGGAGGGGAAAGGGAGTTGAGAAGGGAAAGGGAGTTGGGGAGTAAAAGGGAGTTGAGGGGAAAGGGGTTGGAGGGAAAAAGGGACTTGGGGGGAAAGGGAGGGAAAGGGAGTTGAGAGGGGAAAGGGGAGTTGAGAGGAAAGGGAGTTGGGGGAAAAGTGGGAGAGGAAAAAGGAGTTTGAGGGGGAAAGGGAGTTGGGGGAAAAGGAGTTGGGGGGAAAGGAGTTGGGGAAAAGTGGGAGAGGAAAAGGGAGTTGGGGGAAAAGGGGTTTGGGGTGGAAAGGGAGTTGAGGGAAAAGGGGTTTGGGAGGGAAAAAGGAGTTGAGGGGAAAGGGGGTTTTGGGGGGAGAAAGGGGTTTGGGAGGGAAAAGGGAGTTGAGAGGAAAGGGGGTTGGGGAGAAAAAGGAGTTGGGGGGGAAAAGGGAGTTGGGAGGAAAAAGGGAGTTGGGAGGAAAAAGGGAGTTGGGGGAAAAGGGTTTGGGGAGGAAAAAGGGAGTTGAGGGGGAAAAGGGAGTTGAAGGGGAAAAGGGAGTTGGGGAGAAAAAGTGGGGAGAGGAAAAAGGGGTTTGGGGGTGAAAAGGGTTTGGGGGGAAAAGGAGTTTGGGGGGAAAAAAGGGAGTTGGGGGGGGAAAAGGGAGTTGAGGGAAAAGAGTTTGGGAGGGAAAAGGGAGTTAGAGATCTGAGTAGGTGGAAGGTTTGGGGTGAGGAAAAAGGGATTTGGATTCCCAGGTCTGAGGAGGTGGAAGGGTCGGGGTGTAAATGGGGATTTGTGTTCCCAGAGGTGGAAGGATCAGGCTGTAAATGGGGATTTGTGTCCCCAGAGGAGGAAGGGTCGGGCTGTAAATGGGGATTTGTGTCCTCAGAGGTGGAAGGGTCGGGGTGTAAATGGGGATTTGTGTCCCCAGAGGAGGAAGGGTCGGGTGTAAATGGGGATTTGTGTCCCCAGGAGTTGCTGTCTCCCCACAGGGAGGGGTCTCTGCGGGGCCCTCCCTTGGGGGTTCAGGACGTGGTTAAGGGGGGGGGACACCAGGGAAGGGCTGTGGGGCAGAGTGAGAACCCCCCCTTTGCCCTCATCCCTCCTCCAGGGGGGTAAATCTGGGGGGGCACCCACCGTGGCGGGAGCACTCCTTGATCTTGCCGGTGATCCAGGCCACGGCCTTGGCGCCCATCTTGGTGCCGAAGTTCCTGTCGAAGGGCGTGGGGCTCCCCCCCTGGATTTGGGGGGTGGGGGGGGTTAGGGTCACCAAAAGGGGGGTGGCAGAACCCCAGGAGGGGGGAGAGAAGGTACCCCCCAATCCCTGGGTGTGTGGGGGGTTCCCCCACCTGCTGCATGTGCCCCAGCACGTTCTTCCTGCAGTCGAAGACCCCCTTGCCCTCCTCGGAGTAGAGGTTGTAGATGAAGTCCGTGGTGTAGTTGTCGTTGCAGCGCTCGTTCCTGCGATGGGGAGGGGTCTGAGACACCCCAAAACAACCCCCCTAAACCCCCCCACCACCCCCAAGCAGAGCACAAACCTCAACACCAGCCCCCTCTTCACCGTCGTCTTCATCTTCTCCGTCAGGTGCTCCACGTTCCCCTGCAGGGAGAGGGGGGGAAAGGATCAGTTTGGGTGGGGTGGGAGGAGGAAAATTATGGGGAGGGGGGTCCCAAAAAACCCCGGAAAGGAGCCCCCCAACCTGCAGGTCTCGGATGCTGAAGGGCTCCTCGTAGATGTAGGCGGCGTCGGCGCCGGCCGCCAGCCCCGCCAGCGTGGCCAGGTAACCACAGAAACCCCCCATGGTCTCGATGATGAACACGCGGCGCTTGGTGCCCGCCGCGGACTGCTTGATGAGGTCACACGTCTGGGGGGAAAGGGGGGAGGAAGAGGGGTTGGGAGGAAGGGGATTTGGGGAGGAAAAAGGGGGTTTGGGAGGGGAAAATGGGGAAAAAGGGGGTTGGGGGGAGAAAAGGGGGTTGGGGAGGGAAAAAGGGAGTTGGGGAGGAAAAAGGAATTTGGGGGAAAAAGGGAGTTTGGGGAGGAAAAAAGGGAATTTGGAGGGGAAAAGGGAGTTTGGGGAGAAAAGGGGTTTGAGAGGGGAAAGGGGGAAAAAGGGGTTGGGAGGAAAAAGGGGGTTTGGGAGGGAAAAGGGGAAAAAGGGGGTTTGGGAGGAAAAAGAGGGGTTTGGGAGGGGAAAGGGTTTGGGGAAGAAAGGGGTTTGGGAGGGAAAAGGGGTTTGGGGGAGGAAAAAGGGAGTTTGGGGAGAAAAGGGGAATTTGGGAGGAGGGAGGGGGATAGGGGGTTTGGGAGGAAAGGGGGAAAAGAGGGGTTTGGAGGAGGAAAAAAAAGGGGTTTGGGAGGGGAAAACAGGGAGAAAAGGGTTTGGGGGAGAAAAGGGGGTTTGGGAGGGAAAGGGGGAAAAGGGGGTTTGGGGAGGAAAAAAGGGGTTTGGGAGGAAAAGGGGAAAAAGGGGGGTTGGGGAGGAAAAAGGGGGTTTGGGAGGAAAAGGGGGAAAAAGGGGGTTTGGGAGAGGAAAGGGGAGTTTGGAGGGGAAAAGGGGTAAAAGGGAGTTTTGGGAGGAAAAAGGTAATTTGGGGGAAAAGGGGAAAAAGGGTTTGGGGAGGAAAAAGGGGTTTGGGAGGGAAAAGGGGGATAAAGGGGAGTTCGGGGGAAAGGGGGTAAAAGGGAGTTTGGGGAGGAAAAAGAGGGAATTGGGGGAGGAAAAAGGGAATTTGGGGGAAAAGGGGGAAAAAGGGGGTTTAGGATAGGAAAGGAGGGGTTTGGGGTGGGACAGGAGGGGTTTAGGATAGGAAAGGAGGGGTTGGGGTGGGAAAGGAGGAGTTGGGGTTGGAAAGGAGGGGTTTGGGGTGGGACAGGAGGGGTTTGGGGTGGGACAGGAGGGGTTGGGGTTGGAAAGGAGGGGTTTAGGATAGGAAAGGAGGGGTTTGGGGTTGGAAAGGAGGGGTTTGGGGTTGGAAAGGAGGGGTTTAGGATAGGAAAGGAGGGGTTTGAGGTTGGAAAGGAGGAGTTTGGGGTTGGAAAGGAGGGGTTTGGGGTTGGGCTCCGGGCCGCGGGGCGGGGCTCACGTTGGTGATGGTGTTGAGGGCGGTGTCGGCGCCGATGCTGAAGTCGGAGCCGGGCACGTTGTTGGACACGGTGGCCGGGATGATGCAGAGGGGGATGCAAAGCTCCTCGAACCGCGCCCGGCCCTCCACCAGCTCCAGGCTGCCCATGAACGCCTGGGGGGCCCCGGGGGGGACACCCCAAAAATGGGCAAGGACCCGCCGGGGCCATCCAGTCCAACCCCAAAATCCCCCAAATCCCAAAATCCCAACCCCAACCCCTGCACAGGACAGCTCAAAATCCCACCAGGATCATCCAGTCCAACCCCAAAATCCCAAATCCCAACACCTGGCCCTGCACAGGGCACCCCAAAATCCCACCAGGATCATCCAGTCCAACCCCAAAATCCCAACCCCTGCACAGGACATCCCCAAAATCCCACCAGGATCATCCAGTCCAACCCCAAAATCCCCCAAATCCCAAAATCCCAATCCCAACCTCTGCACAGGACACCCCAAAATCCCACCAGGATCATCCAGTCCAACCCCAAAATCCCAACCCCTGCACAGGACATCCCCAAAATCCCACCAGGATCATCCAGTCCAACCCCAAAATCACCCAAATCCCAAAATCCCAATCCCAACCCCTGCACAGGACACCCCAAAATCCCACCAGGATCATCCAGTCCAAACCCCAAAATCCCCCAAATCCCAAAATCCCAACCCCTGGCCCTGCACAGAATCCCCAAAATCCCCAAATCCCAAATCCCAATCCCAACCCCTGCACAGGGCACCCCAAAATCCCTCTAATCCCCAAAAACCCCAGAGAGGATCCCCCCAAACCCCTCCCCGAGCTCTGGCACCTTTTGGGATCCCTTTCCAGTGCCCAACCCCAAACCCTCCCGGCCCCTTTTCCCAGGGGAATTCCGGGAATTCCACCTTTCCCGGGCCCCTTTTCCCTCGGGAATCCCGGGAATTTCCCCGGGGGGGGTTTCCCCACCTCGAAGCCGCCGATGATGACGAGCCCGTGGATGCCGAACTTGCTGATGTTGGCGCTGATCTCCTCGAAGTATTTCTTGGGCAAAGTCCTGGGGGAAAAAGGAGGAAGGAACGGGAAAAATCCCACCCAGGGGTGGGGGGTGGGGGTCGGATTGGATGCCCCCACCCCAAAAAAAACCAAACAAAAAGGGGGGTTTCGTTACCTTTTGGTGCCCAGTTTGGAGCCCCCCAGGCCCGTCCAGCCCCCCACGCGGTTCCAGCCAATCTCCTCCACCTGGGGGGGTTTGGGGTCACGGGGGAAGGATTTGGGGGCACAGGGGGAGGATTTGGGGGCACGGGGGAGGATTTGGGGGCACAGGAGATTTGGGGTCGTATGAGAAGGATTTGGGGTCATGGGGGAGGATTCAAGGGCACAGGGGGAGGATTTGGGGGCACAGGAGATTTGGGGTCTTTGGGATCACGCTGGCCTGGCTGCAGCCATATCAGTGATATTGGGGTCAATATTGGGGTAACAGCCCTGTTTTGGGGTCCATATTGGGGTCCATATTGGGGTCACACTCCTGGTTTGGGGTCCATATTGGGGTCACAGCCCTTGTTTGGGGTCCATATTGGGGTCGATATTGGGGTCACTGCTATTGGGGTCACTGCCCTGGTTTGGGGTCTGTATTGGGGTCACATCCCTGGTTTGGGGTCCATATTGGGGTCTATATTGGGGTCACTGCTATTGGGGTCACACCCGTGCTTTGGGGTCCACATTGGGGTCCATATTGGGGTCACAGCCCTGGTTTGGGGTCCATACTGGGGTCTATATTGGGGTCACTGCTATTGGGGTCACATCCCTGGTTTGGGATCCATATTGGGGTCACTGCTATTGGGGTCACAGCCCTGGTTTGGGGTCCATATTGGGGTCCATATTGGGGTCACTGCTCTTGGGGTCACAGCCCTGGTTTGGGGTCCATATTTGGGTCACAGCCCTGGTTTGGGGTCTATATTGGGGTCACTGCTGTTGGGGTCACACCCCTGGTTTGGGGTCCATATTGGGGTCACATCCCTGGTTTGGGGTCTGTATTGGGGTCACTGCTATTGGGGTCACACCCCTGGTTTGGAGTCCATATTGGGGTCCATATTGGGGTCCATATTGGGGTCCATATTGGGGTCACTGCTATTGGGGTCACATCCCTGGTCTGGGGTCCATATTGGGGTCCATATTGGGGTCACTGCTATTGGGGTCACACCCCTGGTTTGGGGTCTGTATTGGGGTCCATATTGGGGTCACATCCCTGGTTTGGGGTCCATATTGGGGTCACACCCCTGGTTTGGGGTCCATATTGGGGTCACTGCTATTGGGGTCACATCCCTGATTTGGAGTCCACATTGGGGTCCATATTGGGGTCACAGCCCTGGTTTGGGGTCCATATTGGGGTCACACCCCTGGTTTGGGGCCGATATTGGGGTCCATATTGGGGATCATATTGGGGTCACAGCCCCGGTTTGTGCAGCAGGGCTGGCTCTTACAGCTTGTGGCTTTCCACAACCCCCTTTCCTCTCAGGACCACCCTCCCCTCTCCCCCTCCCAGGACCAGCACCCACCATGCCGAGGGCGAGCCCCTCGAAGCCGTCGTGGGGTCACAGCCCTGGTTTGGGGTCCATATTGGGGTCCACATTGGGGTCGATATTGGGGTCGATATTGGGTTCCATATTGGGGTCACAGCCCCGATTTGTGCAGCAGGGCTGGGTTTTGCAGGTTGTGGCTTTCCACAACCCCCTTTCCTTTCAGGACCACCCTCCCCTCTCCCCTCCCCCAGGCCTGTCACCCACCATGCCGTGGGCGAGCCCCTCGAAGCCATTGTGGGGTCACACCCGTGGTTTGGGGTCCATATTGGGGTCTATATTGGGGTCACTGCTCTTGGGGTCACATCCCTGGTTTGGAGTCCATATTGGGGTCATTGTTATTGGGGTCACAGCCCTGGTTTTGGGGTCCATACTGGGGTCGATATTGGGGTCACTGCTCTTGGGGTCACACCCCTGGTTTGGGGTCCATATTGGGGTCACAGCCCTGGTTTGGGGTCTATATTGGGGTCACTGCTATTGGGGTCACACCCCTGGTTTGGGGTCCACATTGGGGTCCATATTGAGGTCTATATTGGGGTCACTGCTCTTGGGGTCACACCCCTGGTTTGGGGTCCATATTGAGGTCTATATTGGGGTCACTGCTATTGGGGTCACACCCCTGGTTTGGGGTCCATATTGGGGTCATTGTTATTGGGGTCACACCCCTGGTTTGGGGTCCACATTGGGGTCCATATTGAGGTCTATATTGGGGTCACTGCTCTTGGGGTCACACCCCTGGTTTGGGGTCCATATTGAGGTCTATATTGGGGTCACTGCTATTGGGGTCACACCCCTGGTTTGGGGTCCATATTGGGGTCCATATTGGGGTCCATATTGGGGTCCACATTGGGGTCACTGTTCTTGGGGTCACACCCCTGGTTTGGGGTCCACATTGGGGTCCATATTGAGGTCTATATTGGGGTCACTGCTATTGGGGTCACACCCCTGGTTTGGGGTCCATATTGGGGTCCATATTGGGGTCACTGCTATTGGGGTCACTGCTATTGGGGTCACACCCATGCTTTGGGGTCCATATTGGGGTCATTGTTATTGGGGTCACACCCTGGTTTGGGGTCCATATTGGGGTCACTGTTCTTGGGGTCACAACCCTGGTCTGGGGTCCATATTGGGGTCCATATTGGGGTCACTGCTATTGGGGTCACACCCATGCTTTGGGGTCCATATTGGGGTCCACATTGGGGTCCATATTGGGGTCCATATTGGGGTCCATATTGGGGTCACTGTTCTTGGGGTCACACCCCTGGTTTTGGGGTCCACATTGGGGTCACTCCTATTGGGGTTTGGTCCAAGCACCCACAGCAGGGCCAGATTTCACAGCTTGTGACTTTCCACAACCCCCTTTCCTTTTGGGACCACCCTCCCCTCTCCCCCCCTCCCAGGACTGGCACCCACCATGCCCAGGGCGAGCCCCTCGAAGCCGTCGTGGGGTCACACCCCTGGTTTGGGGTCTGTATTGGGGTCACTGCTATTGGGGTCACACCCCTGGTTTGGGGTCCATATTGGGGTCCACATTGGGGTCCATATTGGGGTCCATATTGGGGTAACTGCTCTTGGGGTCACACCCCTGGTTTGGGGCTGATATTGGGGTCCATATTGGGGTCACTGCTATTGGGGTCACACCCCTGGTTTGGGGTCCGTATTGGGGTCACTGCTATTGGGGTAACAGCCCTTGTTTGGGGTCCATATTGGGGTCACATCCCTGGTTTGGGGTCCATATTGGGGTCCATATTGGGGTCACACTCCTGGTTTTGGGGTCCATACTGAGGTCGATATTGGGGTCCATATTGGGGTCATTGTTATTGGGGTCACAGCCCTGTTTTGGGGTCCATATTGGGGTCGATATTGGGGTCACACCCCCAGTTTGTGCACAAGCACCCACAGCGGGGCCAGATTTCACAGCTTGTGACTTTCCACAACCCCCTTTCCTTTCGGGACCACCCTCCCCTCTCCCCCCTCCCAGGACCAGCACCCACCATGCCGAGGGCGAGCCCCTCGAAGCCATTGTGGGGTCACACCCCTGGTTTGGGGTCTACATTGGGGTCCATATTGGGGTCATTGTTATTGGGGTCACAGCCCTGGTGTGGGGTCTGTATTGGGGTCCATATTGGGGTCACAGCCCCAGTTTGTGCAGCAGGGCTGGGTTTTGCAGGTTTCCTTTCAGGACCACCCTCCCCTCTCCCCCCTCCCAGGACCAGCACCCACCATGCCGAGGGCGAGCCCCTCGAAGCCGTCGTGCACGGCCAGCACGCGGTGGCCGTGGATGAGGCCGATGCGGACGGTGGAGCGCACGGCCGCGTTCATCCCCGCCGCCGGAGCGCCCACGTTGAGCACTGCCAGGGTGTACCCGCTCTGGGGGGCACACAGAGGTGTTACAGGGGGGTGTCTGGGGTTTTTGGGGGGTGTTCTCATGGTTTTTGGGGGGGTACCTTGGTGGGCGGGGGGCGGATGTGGGCCAGCAGCTTGTACACGTTCCAGTTGTTCTGGAAGCTCCTGGAGGGGGGGGTGGAGAAAAAAAAAGGGGGTGAAGAGGGTGGTTTGAGTTGTGGGGTGGCTCTGGGGGTGAGCAGAGCTATGGGGGTGACCATGGGGGTGACCATGGGGGTGACCAGAGCCCAGGGGTGACCAGAGCCATGGGGGTGACCATGGGGGTGACCATGGGGGTGATCAGAGCCCAGGGGTGGCCATGGGGGTGACCACAGGCATGCCCAAAGCCCAGGGGTGACCAGAGCCATGGGGGTGACCATGGGGGTGACCACAGCCCAGGGTGGCCATGGGAGTGACCAGAGCCCAGGGGTGGCCATGGGGGTGCCCAGAGCCCTGGGGGTGGCCATGGGGGTGACCAGAGCCCAGGGGTGCCCATGGGGGTGACCATGGGGGTCACCACAGTCCAGGGGTGACCATGGGGGTCACCATGGGGGTGCCCATGGGGGTGACCATGGGGGTGACCATGGAGGTGACCAGAGCCTAGGGGTGGCCATGGGGGTCCCCATAGTCCAGGGGTGCCCATGGGTGTGCCCATGGAGGTGACCAGAGCCATGGGGGTGCCCAGAGCTCTGGGGGTGGCAGGATGGCGGTTACCAGAGCCCACAGGTGCCCATGGGGGTGCCCAGAGCCCACAGGGGGGTATCCCCAGGGGGGACAGGAGGTGCAGCCCCTCACCGGCCCCGCAGCTTCAGCGCTTCCTCGAAGCGCCCCTCGTTCATCGCCGTCGTCACGTCCTTGGTCTGGGCAGGGGGGACAGAGAGCAGTGTGGGGTGGGCCCAGGGGTGTCCTGGGGGTATCCTGGGGGTTGTCCCCAGGGTCCCACACCCCCCCCTACTCACCACCTGCACGCACTCCATCAGGGGCAGGCGCACGGCCTGGTTGCCCGACAGGCTGACCACGCAGGCCGGGGTCTCGGGGGTCGCCTCCAGCAGGGCCATGACGGCCTCCACCCCCATCCTGCTGCCCTGGGGGGACGGGGCAGGGGGGCTCAGCACCCTGGGCACCCCCATGAGCTCCCCCCTGGGGGTCAGGGCCGGGGGGCAGGGGCAGTACCAGGATGCGGTCGAAGGCCGAGGGGGTCCCGCCGCGCTGCACGTGGCCCAGGATGGTGACGCGGGTGTCGTAGCCCAGGCGCTTCACCACCAGCTGCGGGGCAGGGACGGTGTGGGTGGGGTCCCACGGGCCTGGGTCCGGCCCCACAGAGCTGGATCTGACCCCACAGAGCTGGATCCAACCCCACAGAGCTGGATCCGACCCCACAGACATGGATCTGACCCCACAGAGTGGGATCCAACCCCACAGACAGGGATCCAACCCCACAGAGCTGGATCCAACCCCACAGAGCTGGATCCGGCCCCACGGACAGGGGTGGGCCTGGATCTGATCCCACAGAGCTGGATCCAACCCCACAGACAGGGATCCGACCCCACAGAGCTGGATCCAACCCCACAGAGCTGGATCTGACCCCACAGAGCTGGATCCAACCCCACAGACAGGGATCTGACCCCACAGAGCTGGATCCGGCCCCACAGAGCTGGATCCGACCCCATAGAGCTGGATCCAACCCCACAGACATGGATCCAACCCCACAGAGCTGGATCTGACCCCACAGACAGGGATCTGACCCCACAGAGCTGGATCTGACCCCATAGAGCTGGATCCGACCCCACAGAGCTGGATCCAACCCCACAGAGCTGGATCCAACCCCATAGAGTGGGATACGACCCCACAGAGCTGGATCTGACCCCACAGACAGGGATCTGACCCCACAAGCTGGATCCGACCCCACAGGCTGGATCCAACCCCACAGAGCTGGATCCAACCCCATAGAGTGGGATACGACCCCACAGAGCTGGATCTGATCCCACAGAGCTGGATCTGACCCCACAGAGCTGGATCCAACCCAACAGAGCTGGATCTGACCCCACAGAGCTGGATCCAACCCAACAGAGCTGGATCTGACCCCACAGAGCTGGATCCAACCCCACAGAGCTGGATCCAGCCCCATGGACAGGGGTGGGACTGGATCTGATCCCACAGAGCTGGATCCAGTCCCTAAGTCCTGGATCCAGCCCCCCCAGACAGGGATGTGCCTGGATCCAGCTCCCCAGCCCTGGATCCATCCCTGCAGCCCTGGATCCATCCCCCAGCCCTGGATCCATCCACACCCCCATCCCCGGATCCACCCCCCCATCCCTGGATCCATCCCTGGATCCACCCCCCATCCCAGGATCCATCCCTGGATCCACCCCCCATCCTTGGATCCATCCCTGGATCCACTCCCCATCCCCAGATCCATCCCGGATCCATCCCGGATCCATCCCCATCCCGGATCCATCCCGGATCCATCCCAGATCCATTCCCGATCCTGATCCCCATTCCCAGATCCATCCCCGGGCCCGGGGGTGACGTGTCAGGGCCCCTCCCCACTCACGGCTTTGATCTCGTCCGAGGTGATGGCCCTGCCGTGCTTGTCGATGGCCCCTCGGCCACGATGATGATGTTGAGCCTGGAGCCACCGTCCCGAGTCTGGGGGGACACGGGGGGACACGGGGGACAGGGGTGACACAGGGTGCTGGGATGGGGACTGGGAGTGCTGGGATGGGGACTGGGAGTGCTGGGGTGGGGACTGGGAGTGCTGGGATGGGGACTGGGGGTGCTGGGATGGGGACTGGGAGTGCTGGGATGAGGACTGGGAGTGCTGGGGTGGGGACTGGGAGTGCTGGGATGGGGACTGGGAGTGCTGGGGTGGGGACTGGGAGTGCTGGGATGGGGACTGGGAGTGCTGGGATGGGGACTGGGAGTGCTGGGATGGGGACTGGGGTGCTGGGATGGGGACTGGGAGTGCTGGGATGGGGACTGGGAGTGCTGGGATGGGGACTGGGAGCGCTGGGAGGATGACTGGGAGCGCTGGGATGGGGACTGGGAGTGCTGGGATGGGGACTGGGAGTGCTGGGATGGGGACTGGGGTGCTGGGATGGGGACTGGGAGCACTGGGACGGGGACTGGGGGCGCTGGGATGGGGACAGGGGGCACTGGGATGGGGACTGGGAGCGCTGGGATGGGGACTGGGAGCACTGGGACGGGGACTGGGGGTGCTGGGATTGGGACAGGGAGCACTGGGATGGGGACAGGGGGCACTGGGATGTTGACAAGGGTCACTGGGATGGGGACAGGGAGCACTGGGACAGGGACTGGGAGCACTGGGACGGGGACAGGGAGCACTGGGACAGGGACAGGGGGCACTGGGATGAGGACAGGGAGTATTGGGATGGGGGTGAGGGCACTGGGATGATGACAGGGAGCACTGGGACGGGGACTGGGAGCACTGGGATGGGGACAGGGATGGGGACAGGGACAGGGGTCACTGGGATGATGACAGGGAGCACTGGGATGGGGACAGGGATGGGGACAGGGACAGGGGTCACTGGGATGATGACAGGGAGCACTGGGACGGGGACTGGGGGTGCTGGGATGGGGACAGGGGTCACTGGGACGGGGACAGGGGGCACTGGGGTGGGGACTGGGAGTGCTGGGATGGGGACTGGGGGTACAGGGATGGGGACTGGGGGTGCTGGGATGTTGACAGAGAGCACTGGGATGGGGACTGGGAGTACTGGGAGGGAGACTGGGGGCACTGGGTTGGGGACAGGGAGCACTGGGACGGGGACAGGGGGCACTGGGATGATGACAGGGGGCACTGGGATGGGGACAGGGACAGGGGGCACTGGGACGGGGACTGGGAGTACTGGGATGGAGACTGAGGGTGCTGGGATGAGGACAGGGAGCACTGGGAGGGAGACTGGGGGCACTGGGACAGGGACAGGGGGCACTGGGATGGGGACAGGGGGCACTGGGATGATGACAGGGAGCACTGGGATGGGGACAGGGAGCACTGGGATGGGGACAGGGGGCACTGGGATGGGGACAGGGAGCACTGGGATGGGGACTGGGGGTGCTGGGATGGGGACAGGGAGTATTGGGATGGGGACAGGGAGCACTGGGATGATGACAGGGAGCACTGGGACAGGGACTGGGATGGGGACAGGGATGGGGACAGGGACCACTGGGATGATGACAGGGAGCACTGGGACAGGGACTGGGAGCACTGGGACAGGGACAGGGTCCCCCCAGACCCCCCCACCTCCGTCAGCCTCCGGCACAGATGATCCTCCCAGTCATCCTCGGGGGGGGACTCTGGGATGAAGACCCAGTCTGCCCCACAGGCCAGGGCGGTGATGAGGGCCAGGTATCTGCAGGGGGTGCAAAGGGGTCTCTTCAGGGGGGGTTTCCCCCCTAATTTGGTCCCAGGGAGTGGGGGCTGGGCGGGGTCACCCCGACGTACCCGCAGTGCCGCCCCATCACTTCCAGCACGAAGGTCCTCTGGTGGCTGGGGGTGGAAAAGAGGAAAAAAACACGGAATGAGAGGTTGGAAAAGATCTCTGAGGTCATCCAGTCCGACTCATAACCCATCACCCCACCACCCATCACCCAAACCACGGCACCACATCCAGTCCCTTCCTAAACCCCTCCAGGGGATTGGTGACTCCATCACCTCCTTGGGCAGCCCCTTCCAATCTTTCCTCCAAATCAGGGAATCCCAGGTTGGAAAAGACCTCTGAGATCCACCAGTCCAACCCACGACCCATCCCCACCACCAAGTCAACTCAACCCCATCCCTGAGCACCACATCCCATCCCTCCCGGGGTTGGTGACTCCACCACCCCTGAGCAACCTCTTCCAATCTTTAATCCCCTTTTCTGAGAAGAAATCCCTCAGAATCAGGGAATCACAGGTTGGAAAAGACCTCTGAGATCCTCCAATCCAACCCCACAACCCATCCCCACCACCCTGTCACCCAGACCACGGCACCACATCCAGTCCCTTCCCAAACCCCTCCAGGGGTTGGTGACTCCACCACCCCCCTGGGCAGCCCCTTCCAATCTTTAATCCCCCTTTCTGTGGAAAAAATCAGCCAAATCAGGGAATCACAGGTTGGAAAAGACCTCTGAGATCCTCCAGTGACCCAACCCATGACCCATCACCCCCACCCTGTCACCCAGATCATGGCACCACATCCAGTCCCTTCCAATCTTTAATCCCCCTTTCCCTGAACAAATTCCTCCCAATCACAGGGAATCACAGGTTGGAAAAGACCTCTGAGATCCTCCAATCCACCTCACGACCCATCCCCACCTCCCTGTCACCCAAATCATGGCACCACATCCAGTCCTTTCCCAAACCCCTCTAGGGGTTGGTGACTCCACCACCCCCTTGGGCAGCCCCTTCCAATCTTTAATCCCCCTTTCTGAGAAGAAATCCCTCAGAATCAGGGGTTGGAAAACCTCAGACCTCTGAGATCATCCAGTGACCCAACCCCTGACCAATCACCCCCACCCTGTCACCCAGACTGAGGCACCACATCCAACCCCTTCCAATCTTTAACCCCCCTTTCCCTGAACAAATTCCTCCCAATCACAGGGAATCACAGGTTGGAAAAGACCTCTGAGATCCTCCAACCCACCCCACGACCCATCCCCACCACCCATCACCCAGACCATGGCACCACATCCAGTCCCTTCCCAATGCCACATCCAGTCCTTTCCCAAACCCCTCCAGGGGTTGGTGACTCCACCACCCCTGAGCAGCCTCTTCCAATCTTTAATCCCCCTTTCTGAGAAGAAATCCCTAAGAATCAGGGAATCACAGGTTGGAAAAGACCTCTGAGATCCTCCAATCCAACCCCACAACCCATCCCCACCACCCTGTCACCCAGACTGTGGCACCACATCCAGTCCCTTCCCAAACCCCTCCAGGGGTTGGTGACTCCACCACCCCCTGGGCAGCCCCTTCCAATCTTTAATCCCCCTTTCCCTGAACAAATTCCTCCCAATCACAGGGAATCCCAGGTTGGAAAAGACCTCTGAGATCCTCCAGCCCACCCCACGACCCATCCCCACCACCAAATCAACTCCACCCCATCCCCGAGCGCCACATCCCATCCCTCCAGGGGTTGGTGACTCCATCACCCCTGGGCAACCTCTTCCAATCTTTAACCCCCCTTTCTGAGAAGAAATCCCTCAGAATCAGGGAATCACAGGTTGGAAAAGACCTCTGAGATCCTCCAGTCCAACCCATGACCCATCACCCCCACCCTGTCACCCAAATCATGGCACCACATCCAGTCCCTTCCCAATGCCACATCCAGTCCCTTCCCAAACCCCTCCAGGGGTTGGTGACTCCACCACCCCCCTGGGCATCCCCTTCCAATCTTTAATCCCCCTTTCTGTGGAAAAAATCAGCCAAATCAGGGAATCATAGGTTGGAAAAGACCTCTGAGATCCTCCAACCCATCCCCACCACCCATCACCCAGACCGTGGCACCACATCCAGTCCCTTCCCAAACCCCTCCAAGGGCTGGTGACTCCATCACCTCCCTGGGCAGCCCCTTCCAATTTTTCCTCCAAATCACAGAATCAGATGTTGGAAAAGACCTCTGAGATCATCCAGTGACCCAACCCATGACCCATCACCATCTCCCATCACTCAGACCACGGCACCACATCCAGTCCCTTCCCAATGCCACATCCAGTCCCTTCCCAAAGCCGTCCAAGGGTTGGTGACTCCACCACCCCTGAGCAACCTCTTCCAATCTTTAACCCCCCTTTCCCTGAACAAATTCCTCCCAATCACAGGGAATCCCAGGTTGGAAAAGACCTCTGAGATCCTCCAGTGACCCAACCCATGACCCATCATCCCCACCTCCCTGTCGACTCCACCCCATCCCCGAGTGCTGCATCCCGTCCCTCCTGGGGTTGGTGACTCCACCACCCCTGAGCAACCTCTTCCAATCTTTAACCCCACCTTTCCCTGAACAAATTCCTCCAAATCAGGGGATCACAGATTGGAAAAGACCTCTGAGATCCTCCAACCCACCCCACGACCCATCCCCACCACCAAATCAACTCAACCCCATCCCCTCCCTTCCCTCCATCCCTCCCGGGGTTCGGTGTCCCCTCTCCTCAGTCCCCCCCGCTGTTGTCACCTCTGTGCCGTGGTGGTGATGGCGTCCACGATCTCCATGATGCGGTGCAGGGCCGAGTCGGTGCCGATGGTCATGTCGGTGCCGCAGAAGTCGTTGTCGATGGAGCCCACCATGCCCACGATGTTGAGGTAGCTCGAGCGCTGCGCCTCCTCCGCCGTGATGGCCCCTGCCCCCAGGGTGGCACGACCCCCCCTTGGCACTCTGGGGGGTCACCCCCCCCCAAAAATCCCTCTTTCTTCCCCCCCACCCCTTGGCACCAACCGAGAGAACCCAGAATTTTTTTCCCCTTCGGGTTTGGGGGTAAAAAAAACTCCTCTGGAATAAATTTTTTTGGGGGGGTGGGGGGAATTCAGGTGTGGCCTTCTCTGAGCAGGTCACAGATTTTTGTTAGGGGAATTCCAGGTTTTTTGTGCCTGATTTTGGTACAAACCCCACCCAAATAAATCTTGGAGTGGGTGGGGGGTGTTTCTCCTTTGAGCAAATCTCCTTTTTTAGGGCACAAATCTCTGTCTTGGAGGTTGGAAAACCAACGGTTTTGGGGTCTGATTTTGGTACAAAACCCACCCAAATAAATCTTGGAGTAGGGGGGGTTTCTCCTTTGAGCAAATCTCCTTTTAGGGCACAAATCTCTGTCTTGGAGGTTGGAAAACCAACGGTTTGGGGTCTGATTTTGGTACAAAACCCCCCCCAAATAAATCTTGGAGTGGGGGGGGGGGTTTCTCCTTTGAGCAAATCTCCTTTTTTGGGGCACAAATCTCTGTCTTAGAGGTTGGAAAACCAACAGTTTTGGGCCTGATTTTGGTACAAAACCCACCCAAATAAATCTTGGAGTAGGGGGGGTTTCTCCTTTGAGCAAATCTCCTTTTTTGGGGCACGAATCCCTGTGTTGGAGGTTGGAAAACCAACAGTTTTGGGCCTGATTTTGGTATAAAACTCCCCACAGAATAAATCTTGGGGAGGAGGAGTCCACTTTGAGCAGGTCCCCTTTTGGGGCACAAACCTCTGGTTTGGGGGGTTGGGGGGGAAAACCAACATTTCTGGGCCTGATTTTGGTACAAAACCCCTCACTGAATAAATCTGGGGGGGGCACCCCTTTGAGCAGGTCCCCTTTTGGGGCCAGACAACCCCATTTATGGGGTCAAACCCATCATTCTTGTACCAAAACCCACGATTTTGATCCCAAACCCCCCCAAAACAACCCCGGGGGGGGGTCCAGGGGCCATTGACACAACCCCCTGTTTATGGGGTCAAACCCCATCATCATCCTCGTGAATTCTTGTACCAAACCCCCGATTTTGGTCCCAAACCCCCCCAGGGGTGGTCCCCACATACCCCCTTTGAGCAGGTCCCCTTTTGGGGCCAGACAACCCCCCCATTTACAGGATCAAACCCCATCATCATCCTCGTGAATTCTTGTACCAAACCCCCCAATTTTGGTCCCAAACCCCCCCAAAACAACCCCGGGGGGGGTCCAGGGGCCATTGGCACAACCACTCCCATTTACGGGCTCAAACCCCATCATCATCCTCGTGAATTCTTGTACCAAACCCCCCATTTTGGTCCCAAACCCCCCCCAAAACGCCCCCGTGGGGGGTCCCCACATACCCCCTTTGAGCAGGTCCCCTTTTGGGTCCAGACAACCCCATTTATGGGGTCAATCCCACCACTTTTGTGTAGAACTCCCAAGATTTTGATCCCAAACCCCCCCAAAACGCCCCCGTGGGTGGTCCCCACGTACCCCCCTTGAGCAGGTCGGCCAGGAGGCCGCTCCACTCTGCCCTGAAGGTGTCAGCGCCGGTGAGGCTGCCGTCGCCGCCGATGACGCACAGGTTGGTGATGCCGCGCTTCACCAGGTTCCGCGCCGCCTTCAGCCGCCCCTCGCGCGTGCGGAAGTCCTGGCAGCGCGCGCTGCCGATCACCGTCCCGCCCTGCCCGCGGCGCAGAGCAGAGTCAGGCACGCGGAGGGGATCCATCCCTCCATCCATCCCTCCATCCCTGATTCCATCCATCCATCCATCCAACCATCCATCCCTGATTCCATCCATCCATCCTTCCATCCATCCATCCATCCCTCCATCCATCCTTCCTTCCATCTGGCCTTCCTGCCTTGTGTCCTTCCTTCCATCCATCCATCCACCCATCCATCCACCCATCCGTCCATCCATCCATCCATCCACCCAACCACCCATCCATCCACCCACCCATCTGTCCATCCATTCTTCCATCATCCATCTGTCATCCATCTGTCCTTCCATCCATGATTCCCCCACCCACCCATCCCCTCCTCCCCTCCTCCTCCTCCCCTCCCCATCCACTCCTTTCCCCTCCCCTCCCTATCCACTCCCCTCCCTCCCCTTCCATCCCCTCCTTCCATCCCTCCCTTCCCCTCCCTCCATCCCATCCCTCCCCTCCATCCCATCCCATCCCATCCCATCCCATCCCATCCCATCCCATCCCATCCCATCCCATCCCATCCCATCCCATCCCATCCCCACCCTCCCTCCCACTCTATCCCATCCCTCCCATCCCTCTCATCCCTCCCCTCCCTCCCTCCCCTCCTCCCCTCCCCTCCCTCCCTCATCCCATCCCCTCCATCCCATCCCATCACATCCCATTCCATCCCATCCCATCCCCTCCCCTCCCTCTCATCCCATCCCATCCCATCCCTTCCCTCCCATCCCCTCCATCCCCTCCCATCCCATCCCATCCCTCCCATCCATCCCTCCCTCCTCATCCCTCTCATCCCATCCCATCCCATCCCATCCTCTCCATCCCATCCCATCCCCTCCATCCCTCCATCCCATCCCATCCCATCCCATCCCATCCCATCCCATCCCATCCCCTCCATCCCCTCCCATCCCACCCACCCCATCCATCCCATCCCATCCATCCCATCCCATCCCATCCCATCCCATCCCCATCCCATCCCATCCCATCCCCATCCCTCCCATCCCTCCATCCCCATCCCATCCCTCCCTCCATCCCTCTCATCCCATCCCATCCCATCCCCATCCCTCCTCCCATCCCCTCCCACTTCACCCATCCCATCCCATCCCCTCCCACCTCATCCATCCCTCCATCCCATCCCATCCCCTCCCCTCCCCTCCTCCATCCCATCCCATCCCATCCCATCCCATCCCATCCCATCCCATCCCTCCATCCCATCCTCCATCCCATCCCACCCCATCCATCCCATCCTCCCACCTCATCCATCCCCTCCCACCTCACCCATCCCATCCCATCCCATCTCACCCATCCCATCCTATCCCATCCCTCCCATCCCCTCCCATCCCCTCCCATCCCCTCCATCCCCTCCCATCCCATCCCATCCCATCCTCCATCCCCTCCATCCCCTCCCACCCCACTCCTCCTCACCAGCTGCAGCATCATCGACACGCTCTCCCACGTGGCCTCCTTGATGTGATCCCCGCCATCCACCAGCCCCTGGTAGCCCTGGGTGGGGGAGAGCGGCACACAAAACACTCACACACAGGTGTTCCAACCACCCCCCATTCCCAGATTTTTTTTTTGGGGATGGAAAACCATTGGAATTGGGGTTGGGATCCGACTGACCTCGTAGACGAAGAAGACCCTGGCTCCGGTGTAGATGCCCACGCGCACCACGGCCCGCACGGCTGCGTTCATCCCTGGGGGGGTGGGGACACCAAACCATCACCCTGGGACCCCCCTCGGTGCCCCCCCCAAATCCAGGGGGCCCCCTCTTTTCCCTCCCCTCCCCCATCCCATCCCATCCCCCTCATCCCATCCCATCCCATCCCCCGCAGCTGCCGGGTTATTTTTGCCCTGCTGACCTTTAGTGGCAGCGCGTGACACCCGGTGACAAACACGGCGAGGGGGGCACAGAGGGGGGACAGTCGAGGAGAGACCCCTCCCCCACCCCCTCTCCAAGGGGTTTTTCCACCCCTCTCCCATCTCCAAAGTTTGGGCTGAATCCCTGAAGTTTTGGGCAACTCCCAATTTCCACCCCCCCTAGCATTGACCCCGTGCCAGGTGCCACCAACAACCCTCCAACACCCCCTCCCCCAAAAAAAAATTTGGGTGCGAGGGACCCACCCCTGCACCCCAAAAAACTCCCCCCAGTTCCACCTCGAGTGTCCTCCCAAGGTCACCCCCCCAAAAACATGCAGGAACCCGTGGGGAAAACCCCTCCAAACCCCCACCCGTGCCCCATTTCCACCCGTTTTCACCCCAAAAATTGGCACCGCCAGTTGTTTTTTAGGGGGGTGGGTTTGTTTTTTTTTTGGGGGGGGGGTTTTCTCACCCTGGGCGTCCCCCCCGGAGGTGAGGACGGCGATGGCTTTGCCCTCGCCCATGCTCTCGGTGTGCCGGTGCCCCGCCGGTGCCATCCTGCTGCCTGCGGGGGGAAAACGGGGAATTCGGGAATGCCGCGGGAAGGGGAGCGAGACCCCCGAGCCGAGCCGAGCCGAGCCGAGCCGAGCCGAGCCGAACCGAGCCGAACCGAGCCGAGCCGAGCCGAGCCGAGCCGAGCCGAGCCGAGCTGAGCCGAGCCGCAGGCACCACCGACTGGCACCCCCGACTGGCACCCCCGACTGGCACCGGGCACGGCCCCGGCCAGGACCCCCCCCGGGGGGAGGGACAGCCCCGCTGGCAACGCCGTGACCCCCCCGCCCCCCCGGACTGGGGCCAGGCAGCCCCTACTGGTGTGTTCTTACTGGTGCCGGTGTGTTCTTACTGGGGCCAGGCAGCCCCTACTGGTGTCGGTGTGTTCTTACTGGTGCCGGTGTGTTCTTACTGGGGCCAGGCAGTCCTCACTGGTTCCAGTCTGTCCCCACTGGTGTCAGTCAGTCCTTACTGGTGCCGGTGTGTTCTTACTGGTGTCATCAGTCCCTACTGGTGTCGGTGTGTTCTTACTGGTGCCGGTGTGTTCTTACTGGTGCCGGTGTGTTCTTACTGGGGCCAGGCAGTCCTTATTGGTGTCAGTCAGTCCTTACTGGTGCCACGGTGTTCTTACTGGGGCCAGTCAGTCCTTACTGGTGCCAGTGTGTTCTTACTGGTGCCAGTGTGTTGTTACTGGTGCCAGTGTGTTCTTACTGGGGCCAGTCAGTCCAGTCAGTCCTCACTGGTTCCAGTCTGTCCCCACTGGTGTCAGTCAGTCCCTACTGGTGCCAGTGTGTTCTTACTGGTCTCAGTGTGTTCTTACTGGTGTCAGTCAGTCCTTACTGGGGCCAGTCAGTCCTTACTGGGGCCAGTCAGTCCTCACTGGTTCCAGTCTGTCCCCACTGGTGTCAGTCAGTCCCTACTGGTGTCAGTCAGTCCAGTCAGTCCTTACTGGTGCCACGGTGTTCTTACTGGGGCCAGTCAGTCCTTACTGGTTCCAGTCTGTCCCCACTGGTTCCAGTCTGTCCCCTGTGGTCACTGGTGTGCCCTCCGTACTGGTCCAAGCCTGCTGTCCTTACTGGTCCCAGTACCCCCAGCTGGTGTCAGGCCGTGTTCTGCACTGGTCCCAGTTTGCTGGCAGTGCTGGTCCCCAGTCAGGGTGTCCCTGCCCCCAGTGTGGTGTCACCGGTCCCAGAGGGGTGTCCCTGGTCCCAGTGGGGTGTCCCTGTCCCCAGTGGGGTGTCCCTGGTCCCATGGGGGTGTCCCTGTCCCCAAGTGGGGTGTCCCCGTCCCCAGGGGGGTGTCCCCGTCCCCAGGGGGGTGTCCCCATCCCCCGTGGGGTGTCCCCATCCCCAGTGAGGTGTCCCTGTTCCCAGGGGGGTGTCCCTGTCCCCTGGCACTGTCCCTGTCCCCAGTGGGGTGTCCCCATCCCCAGGGGGGTGTCCCCGTCCCCAGTGAGGTGTCCCCATCCCCAGGGGGGTGTCCCCGTCCCCAGTGGGGTGTCCCTGTCCCCCAAGGGGGTGTCCCCGTCCCCATGGGGTGTCCCCATCCCCAGTGGGGTGTCCCTGTCCCCCGTGGGGGTGTCCCCGTCCCCCGTGGGGTGTCCCTGTCCCCCAAGGGGGTGTCCCTGTCCCCAGGGGGGTGTCCTTGTCCCCAGGGGGTGTCCCCATACCCAAGGGGATGTCCCTGTCCCCTGGCACTGTCCCCGTCCCCAGGGGGTGTCCCGTCCCCGTGGGGTGTCCCCATCCCCAGGGGGGTGTCCCTGTCCCCTGGCACTGTCCCTGCCCCCCATGGGGTGTCCCTGTCCCCATGGGGGTGTCCCTGTCCCCAGGGGGGTGTCCCTGTCCCCAGGGGGGTGTCCCCGTCCCCCGTGGGGTGTCCCTGTCCCCAGGGGGTGTCCCCATCCCCAGTGAGGTGTCCCTGTCCCCAGGGGGGTGTCCCTGTCCCCAGTGAGGTGTCCCTGTCCCCATGGGGTGTCCCCATCCCCAGTGAGGTGTCCCTGTCCCCAGGGGGGTGTCCCTGTACCCCATGGGGTGTCCCCGTCCCCCGTGGGGTGTCCCTGCCCCCCAAGGGGATGTCCCCGTCCCCAGGGGGGTGTCCCTGTCCCCCAGTGGGGTGTCCCTGCCCCCCATGGGGGTGTCCCCGTCCCCATGGGGTGTCCCCGTCCCCCGTGGGGTGTCCCCGTCCCCCGTGGGGTGTCCCTGCCCCCCAAGGGGATGTCCCCGTCCCCAGGGGGGTGTCCCTGTCCCCCGTGGGGTGTCCCTGTCCCCAGTAGGGTGTCCCTGCCCCCCATGGGGGTGTCCCTGTCCCCAGGGGGGTGTCCCCATCCCCCGTGGGGTGTCCCCGTCCCCGCTGTCCCCTCACTGACCTGGCTCGGTTCCCCGGCCCGGGCCGGGCTGGAGGAAGGTGAGGAGGAGGAGGAGGAGGGCGGCGAAGGAGAGCGCGGCCGACACGAGGAGCCGGGAGGAGTCGGGAGAGAGCTCCGGGACCGGCACCGGCACCGGCACCATGGCGGGAGCGGGGACAGCCCGGGACAGCACCGGGAGCGGCTCCGGGAGCGGCTCTGGGAGAGGCACCGGGACAGACCCAGGACAGCCCGGGAGCAGCACCGGGACTGACCTAGCGGACCGGGACAGCTCTGGGAGAGGCACCAGGAGTGGCCGGGACAGCCCGGGAACGGCACCAGGAGTGGCTCGGGACAGACCCAGGACAGCCCGGGAGCAGCACCGGGACTGACCTTAACGGGACCGGGACAGCCCCGGGAATGGCACCGGGAGCGGCTCCGGGACAGCCCCGGGAATGGCACCGGGAGCGGCTCCGGGAGAGGCACCGGGACAGCCCCGGGAGCGCCGGGATTGACCTTAACGGGACCGGCTGGAACGGGATCGGCTGTAGGGACACGATCGGTTATTATGGGATCGGCTGTAGGGACAGGACCGGCTATTACGGGATCGGCTGTAGGGACAGGATCGGCTCTGATGGGATCAGCTGTCATGGGATCGGCTGTAGGGACAGGACCGGCTATTATGGGATCTCCTGTCATGGGATCGGCTGTAGGGACACGATCGGCTATTATGGGATCGCCTGTCATGGGATCGGCTGCAGGGACAGGCTCTGATGGGATCAGCTGTCATGGGATCGGCTGTAGGGACACGATCGGCTGTCATGGGATCGGGATTGACCCGCACGGAATTGCCTGTAGGGAGCGGCTGTTCTGGGACCGGCTGGAACGGGATCGGCTGTAGGGACAGGATCGGCTCCAATGGGATCGGCTATAGGGACAGGTTCTGATGGGATCAGCTATCATGGGATCGGCTGTCATGGGATCACTGTAGGGACAGGCTGTGATGGGGTCACTGTAGGGACAGGATCAGCTCTAATGGGATCAGCTGTCATGGGATCGGCTGTAGGGACATGATCGGCTCTGATGGGATCAGCTGTCATGGGATCGGCTGTAGGGACATGATCGGCTCTGATGGGATCAGCTGCCATGGGATCGGCTGTAGGGACACGATCGGCTCCAATGGGATCGGCTGTAGGGACAGGATCGGCTCTAGTGGGATTAGCTGTCATGGGATCACTGTAGGGACAGGCTGTGATGGGATCACTGTAGGGACAGGCTGTGATGGGATCACTGTAGGGACAGGCTCTGATGGGATCAGCTGCCCCCCCTCCAGGGCAGCCCCCAGCCCTGCTCTGAGTGACCCCCAGGGTGACCCCAGGGTGACCCCCAGGGTGACACCGGCACTGCAGTGACGCCCTGCAGGGTGACAACTCCACAGGGTGACAACTCCACAGGGTGACCCCTTGCAGGGTGACCCCCCTTCTAGAAAGTGACCCCTCTATCAGATGGCCCCCCAAATGTGACCCCTTAAATGTGAACCCCAAATGTGACCCCCCCTATAGGTGACCCCTCTACAGATGCCCCCCAAATGTGACCCCCCTATAGGTGACCCCCCAAATGTGACCCCCAAATGTGACCCCTCAAATGTGACCCCCCAAATGTGACCCCTCTATCAGATGGACCCCCAAATGTGACCCCCCAAATGTGACCCCCTAAATGTGACCCCTCCAAATGTGACCCCTCTATAAGATGCCCCCAAATGTGACCCCTCAAATGGGACCCCCAAATGTGACCCCCCAAATGTGACCCCCCTATAGGTGACCCCTCTATCAGATGCCCCCCAAATGTGACCCCTCTATAGGTGACCCCTCAAATGTGACCCCTCAAATGTGACCCCCAAATGTGACCCCTTAAATGTGACCCCCAAATGTGACCCTCCAAATGTGACTCCCAATGTGAGCCCCCTATAGGTGACCCCAAATGTGACCCTCTATCAGATGCCCCCAAATGTGACTCTCCTAGGTGACCCCAAATGTGACCCCCAAATGTGACCCCTTAAATGTGACCCCCCAAATGTGACCCCCAAATGTAACCCCCCAAATGTGACCCCCCCAAATGTGACCCCCCAAATGTGACCCCTCCAAAGTGACCCCCCAAATGTGACCCCTCTATCGGCGCCTCCACCAAAGGCTGCCCCCCCAACGCTACCCCCCCAGTCCTCCCCCCCGCCAGGGGGCGCCCTCCCTCTCCGCTCTCTCATTCCATGACGTCACTTCCTCCATCTCCCGCCATCACTTCCGCCGCCGCCGCCGAGCCCGGGAAAACCGCGCGCGCGGCCGGGGCCGGTTCCGCTTCCGCTTCCGGCGCCGCTTCCGCTTCCGGCGGCGGCAGCGGCGGCTCCCGGGGCCGTTCCGGGGGTCGGGGCCGTTCCTGGGGCCGTTCCTGGGCTCGGGGCCGTTCTTGGGCTCGGGACCGTTCCCGGGGCCGTTCCCGGGCTCGGGGCCTTCTCTCGGCCCTTCCTCCTCCTCCTCCCCCGCCGTGGCCGCTCCTCGGTGCCCCCCACGCGTGTCCGTGACCCTCCCTCGGGCCCCGCGGGGCCGCTCGGCCGCCCTGCCCGCTCCGCCGCCGCCCCGCATGAGGATGGAGCGGGCCCGGGACCCCCCGGACAGGAAGGTGCGGACCCTTTCCCTTCTCCCCGTGGGAATCCCGGGATTTTGGGGGGGGCAGGGAGGGTGGGGAACCCTCGGGAGTTCGGGGGATTCCTTCCCTGAATCCTCTCCCCCTTTCCCAGCTGGAATTCCCTCATCCCAAATCCCCCCTAAAGGGATGGAAAACTCCCCTGGAAAGGTCAATCCCAACCCAAACCGTTCCAGGATCCCATGGGAATGACCGGGTGGGAATGCAGGGAAAGCTGCTCCAGGCTGGAATAACTGAGGGGAAAGCCCCAAATCCAGGGATTCAGGGAATGGGTGGGATTGGGAGGGACCCAAAGCTCATCCCATCCCATCCCATCCCCCTTCCCACATCATCCCAGGGGGATCCAACCCGGCCAGGGCTGGGAAATCCTCTGGGAAATCCATCCCAGGGCCTGTCCTTTGGGAATCCAATCCTGTTCCTTTGGGATCTGGGGCTGATCCTGTTCCTTTGGGATCTGGGGCTGATCCTGTTCCTTTGGGATCCAATCCTGTCCCTTTGGGATTTGGGATCCAATCCCATCCCTTTGGGATCTGGGGTTGATCCCATTCCTGTTCCCAATCCCAACCCTCTGCTCTTCCCCCCCTCAGTTCGTGCCCCCCAAGAGTTTTTCCTGCCCCTCTGGAAGTGCCTCCTGCGGCCTCGGCTTCTCCCCCCCAGGTGAGCGGGGTGGGGGGATTTTCCGGGATTTTCCTGCCTTTTCCTGTGGGGTTTTTAATTGGATTTTCCTGTGGCTTTTTCTGCCTTTTTTTCTGTTTTTTTTCCCTGTCTTTTTCCCCCTCCTTTTCCCCCTCCTTTTCCCCCTCCTTTTCCCCCTCCTTTTCCCCCTCCTTTTCCCCCTCCTTTTCCCCCTCTTTTTCCCCTCCTTTTTCCCCTCTTTTTCCCCTCTTTTTCCCCCTCTTTTCCCCCCTCTTTTCCCCTCTTTTTCCCCTCCTTTTCCCCTCCTTTTTCCCCCTCCTTTTCCCCTCCTTCTCCCCTCTTTTTCCCCCTCTTTTCCCCTCTTATCCCTCTTTCCCCTCTTTCTCCCCCTCTTTCCTCCTCTTTTTCCTCCTCTTTTCCCCCTCTTTTTTCCCTCCTTTTCCCCCCTCTTTTTCCCCTCTTTTTCCCCTCTTTTTCTCCCGTGTTTTCCTTTGGTTTCCCTCTGTTTTCCTCTGCATTTTCCTGCAGGTTTGCTGTGTTTTCCTCTCTCTTCCTGTGTTGTTTTCTTTCCCTGTGTTTTCCTGTGGTTTCCATGAGCGTCTCTGGGTGTCCCTGCCTGTCCGTGGGTGTCCCTGCCTGTCCCTGCCTGTCCCTGGGTGTCCGTGGGTGTCCCTGGGTGTCCGTGGGTGTCCCTGGGTGTCCGTGGGTGTCCCTGGGTGTCTGTGGGTGTCCCTCCTTTCCTTGGGTGTCCCTGGGTATCCCTGCCTGTCCCTGGGACTCCCTGACTGTTTCCCTGCGTGTCCCTGAGTGTCCATGGGTGTCCCTGAGTGTCTCTGGGTGTCCTTGAGTGTCCCTGCATGTCCGTGGGTGTCCCTCCTTTCCCTGAGTGTCCCTGACTGTCCCTGCCTGTCCCTGACTGTCCCTGCCTGTCCCTGGGTGTCCATGGGTGTCCCTCCTTTCCCTGAGTGTCCCTCCATTCCTTGAGTGTCCCTGGGTGTCCCTGAGTGTCCCTGCATGTCCCTGGGTGTCTGTGGGTGTCCAGGGGTCTCCCTGCCTGTCCCTGAGCATCCCTGGGTCTCCCTGCCTGTCCCTGGGTCTCCCTGCCTGTCCCTGGGTGTCTGTGGGTGTCCTTCCTTTCCTTGAGTGTCCATAGGTGTCCCTCCTTCCCCTGCATGTCCCTGCCTGTCCCAGGGTGTCCCTGGGTGTCCCTGGGTGTTCCTGCCTGTCCCTACCTGTCCCTGCCTGTCCCTGCCTGTCCCTGCCTATTCCTGCCTGTCCCTGAGTGTCCCTGAGTGTCTCTGGATGTCCCTGGGTGTCCCTCCTTTCCCTGAGTGTCCCTGCCTGTCCCTGGGTGTCCCTCCTTTCCCTGAGTGTCCCTGGATGTCCCTGGGTGTCCCTGCCTGTCCCTGAGTGTCCCTGCCTGTCCCTGCCTGTCCTTGGGTGTCCCTGCCTGTCCCTGCCTGTCCCTGGGTGTCCCTGAGTGTCCCTCCATTCCTTGGGTGTCCCAGGGTGTCCCTGCCTGTCCCTGCCTGTCCCTGGGTGTCCCTGCCTGTCCCTGGGTGTCCGTGGGTGTCCCTGCCTGTCCCTGGGTGTCCCTGCCTGTCCCTGCCTTTCCCTGAGTGTCCCTGCCTGTCCCTGGGTGTCCCTGCCTGTCCCTGGGTGTCCGTGGGTGTCCCTGCCTGTCCCTGTCTGTCCCTGGGTGTCCCTGGCGTGTCCCTTGCCTGTCCCTGCCTGTCCCTGCCTGTCCCTGCCCGTCCCTGCCTGTCCCTGCCCATCCCTGCCTGTCCCTGGGTGTCCCTGGGTGTCCCTGCCCGTCCCTGCCTGTCCCTGCCCATCCCTGCCTGTCCCTGGGTGTCCCTGCCCATCCCTGGGTGTCCCTGGGTGTCCCTGCCCGTCCCTGCCTGTCCCTGCCTGTCCCTGCCCGTCCCTGCCTGTCCCTGCCTGTCCCTGCCCGTCCCTGCCTGTCCCTGCCCGTCCCTGCCTGTCCCTGCCCATCCCTGCCTGTCCCTGGGTGTCCCTGGGTGTCCCTGCCCGTCCCTGCCTGTCCCTGCCCATCCCTGCCTGTCCCTGGGTGTCCCTGGATGTCCCTGCCTGTCCCTGCCTGTCCCAGGGTGTCTGTGGGTGTCCCTGCCTGTCCCTGTCTGTCCCTGGGTGTCCCTGCCTGTCCCTGGGTGTCCCTGAGTGTCCCTGCCTGTCCCTGGGTGTCCCTGAGTGTCCCTGCCTGTCCCTGGGTGTCCCTGGGTGTCCCTGCCCATCCCTGGGTGTCCCTGGGTGTCTGTGGGTGTCCCTGCCTGTCCCAGGGTGTCCCTGCCTGTCCCTGGGTGTCCCTGAGCTCCGGTGTCCCCGCAGACCCCGTGGAGTTGCCGTCCCTGTGCCGGCAGTGCCGGCCCCTGTCCTGCGGAGCCAACGGGCAGTGGAGGAGCTCGGGGGCCGTGGGGGCCTCGGGGCCGCAGAAACCCCGGCTCAGCAGGGGCTCCTTCCTGGAATCCCGCAAAAATCCCAGGTGGGTGCGGGGCTGGGGGCAGGGAAACCCCTGGGGTGGGGTGGGGGGCTGAGGGAGGGGAGAACGGGATCCCAGGGGGGCCCAGGGGAGTCCAAATGAGCCCAGGGGGAACTCAAATGTGCCCAGGGGACCCCAAATGAGCCCAGGGGGAACTCAAATGTGCCCAGGGGACCCCAAATGAGTTCAGATGAGCTCAGGGGACCCCAAATGAGCCCAGGGGAGCTCAGGGGACTCCAAATGACCCCAAATGAACCCAGGGGACCCCAAATGAGCCCAAGGGACCCCAAATGAGCCCAGGGGTGCCCAAATGAGCCCAAGGGACCCCAAATGAGCCCAAGGGACCCCAAATGAGCCCAGGGGTGCCCAAATGAGCCCAGGGGTGCCCAAATGTGCCCAGGAGTGCCCAAATGAGCCCAGGGGACCCCAAATGAGCCCAAGGGACCCCAAATGAGCCCAGGGGGAACTCAAATGTGCCCAGGAGTGCCCAAATGAGCCCAGGGGACCCCAAATGAGCCCAAGGGTGTCCAGATGAGCCCAAGGGACCCCAAATGAGCCCAGGGGACCCCAAATGAGCCCAAGGGACCCCAAATGAGCCCAGGGGTGCCCAAATGAGCCCAAGGGTGCCCAAATGAGCCCAGGGGAGCCCAGGAGGCCTTCTGGGCATCAACCCTAAACCCATTCTTTAAACCACCCTTAAACCACCTTAAGACCGTTCTTAAAACAGTCTTGAGACCATTTATATACTCATTTTTAAACCCATCTTAAACCCGTTTTTAAACCCATTCCTTAAGCCACCTTTGAGCCACCTTAAGACCATTCTTAAACCTGGTTTAAACCCCTCCTTTAAGCCACTCTTAATCTGCCTTGAGACCATTCTTAAGACCATTCTAAACCCATTCTTTAAGCCACCTTAAGACCATTTTTAAACCCATTTTAAACCCCCACCTTTAAGCCCCCACCTCAAGGCCACTCTTAAACCCACCCCAAACCCATCCTAAACTCGTTCTGGCTCCAGGACCCCACCCCGTTAACCCCAAAACCCAAAACTTTCCCTGGGGGGTGGGTGGGGTTTTTTTATCCCTTTTTTCCCTTTTTTTCTCCATTTTCCAGCAGCACCTCCAACAGTTTTGGGGGCAAGTCCAACCACCACTGCCACGGCTCGGCCTTTCCCCTCAAAGCCTCGCCCGGCCCCTCGTGCCGGAGAGGCCTCCTGAGCCCCAAGAAGACCCCCAGGCGCTTCATCAGCACGGCAGAGGAGGTGGGAGGGGGATTTAGGATGGATTTGAACCTGGTTTGGTCTCCCTGGGGGTTTGGTTTGGGTTTTTTTGGGGGGTTTTTGGGTGAGTGGAATGATCGGGACGTGGCCGTGCTGGAGGGAGGGGGTTTGGTTGTAGGAGGGGTTTGGTTGTAAGGGGGATTTGTCCTTGGATAAATTTTCCCCTCACTGAGCTTGGGAAAGGGTTTAGGGATGGGTCAGGAGGAGAGGAGGGGGAGCAGCAGTCAAGGGGGGAAGGTTTTGGGAGGGGAAAAGGGTAATAAATGGAGGGAGATGGGGAAAAAAGGGGGTTTGGCAGGCAGGGAGGGGGTGGGATTGGAGGGGAGGAGAAAGGAGGGAAGGGGAAAAGGGAAGGGGAAAAGGAAGGAAAGGGAAAGAGAAGGGGAAAAGGGAAGGAGGAGGGAAGGGAAGGGGAAAGGAAGGAAGGGGAAGAGGAAGGGAAGGAAGGAAGGGAAGGGAAGGGAAGGGAAGGAAGGGAAGGAAGAAGGAAGGGAAGGGAAGGGAAGGGAAGGGAAAGGGAAAGGGAAAGAAGGGGAAAAAGGGAAGGAAAAGAAGAGAAAAGGAAAGGAAGGAAAGGAGGAGAAAAGGGAAAGGAGAGGGAAAAGGGAAAGGAGGGAAAGAAGGGGGAAAAGGGAAGGGAAAGAAGGGGGAAAAGGGAAGGGAAAGAAGAGAAGGAAGGGAGAAAGGGAAGGAAGAAAGAAGGGAGAAAAGGAAGGGAAAGAAGGGGGAAAAAGGAAGGGAAAGAAGGAGAAAAGGGAAGGGAAAGAAGGGGGAAAAGGGAAGGGAAAGAAGGGAAAAAAGGGAAGGGAAAGGAAGGGGGAAAAGGGAAAGGAGGAGGAAAAGGGAAAGGGAAGGGAAAGAAGGGGAAAAGGGAAGGGGAAAAGGGAAGGGAAAGGGAGGGAAGGGATTATGGAATATCCTGAGTGGGAAAGGACCACCCAGCCCAGGGCTCCCCCCTGCGTGTGCAGCCTCCAAACCCCCCTTCCCCCGAGTTTCCCGGGGCTGTCCCGGGCTGGATCCTCGGGAATGACCCCTGGGAATGACCCCTGGGAATGAACCCTGGGAATGACCCCTGGGAATGACCCCTGGGAATGACCCCTGGGAATGAGCCCTGGGAACGTGTCCCTGCAGACGGTGCGGGAGGAGGAGCGGGAGATCTACCGGCAGCTGCTGCAGATGGTGACAGGGAAGCAGTTCTGCTCCTCCAAACCCTCCTCGCTCTTCCCCTTCCACCTGTGAGTAACGGGAATGGCCCTTTTCCCACCCCTGGGGCTGCTGGGAGCTGCTTTTCCTTACTGGGAGCTGCTGTTCCTTACTGGGAGCTGCTTTTCCATGTTGGGAGCTGCTTTTCCATGTTGGGAGCTGCCTTTCCTTACTGGGAGCTGCTTTCCTTACTGGGAGCTGCTGTTCCTTACTGGGAGCTGCTTTTCCTGATTATTCCTTTTCCTTACTGGGAGCTGCTTTTCTTTATTATTCCTTTTCCATGCTGGGAGCTGCTTTTCCTTGCTGGGAGCTGCTGTTCCTTACTGGGAGCTGATTTTCCTTACTGGGAACTACTTTTCCTTACTGGGAACTACTGTTCCTTACTGGGAGCTGCTTTTCCATGTTGGGAACTGCTTTTCCTGCTCATATTTCTTTTCCTGCTGGGAATTCCTATTCCTGCTCCTATTCCTTTTCCTGCTGGGAATTCCTATTCCTGCCCATATTCCTTTTCCTGCTCATGAAACTCCTTTTCCTGCTGGGAGGGAGCTGCTTTTCCTGAGCTCCTTTTCCCTCTGGGAGCTGATTTTCCTGCTCATATTCCTTTTCCTGCTGGGAGAGAGATGCTTTTCCCTCTGGAAGCTCATTTTCCTGCTCACATTCCTTTTCCTGCTGGGAGGGAGATGCTTTTCCCTCTGGGAGCTGATTTTCCTGCTCATATTCCTTTTCCTGCTCATATTCCTTTTTCCTGCTGGGAGGCAGCTCCTTTTTCCTCTGGGAGCTGATTTTCCTGCTCATATTCCCTTTCCTGGTGGGAGGCAACTCCTTTTCCTGCTGGGAGAGAGATGCTTTTCCTGCTGGGAGCTGCTTTTCCTGCTCATATTCCTTTTCCTACTCATGTTCCTTTTCCCTCTGGGAGCTCCTTTTCCTGCTGGGAGGGAGCTCCTTTTTCCTCTGGGAGCTGCTTTTCCTGCTCATGTTCCTTTTCCTACTGGGAGAGAGATGCTTTTCCTGTTCACATTCCTTTTCCTGCTCATATTCCTTTTCCTGCTCATATTCCTTTTCCTGCTGGGAGCTGCTTTTCCTGCTCACGTTCCTTTTCCTGCTGGGAGGGAGCTCCTTTTTCCTCTGGGAGCTGCTTTTCCTGCTCATATTCCTTTTCCTGCTCATATTCCTTTTCCTGCTCACATTCCTTTTCCTGCTGGGAGAGAGATGCTTTTCCCTCTGGAAGCTCCTTTTCCCTCTGGGAGCTGCTTTTCCTGCTGGGAGGGAGCTCCTTTTCCCCCTGGGAGCTGCTTTTAACTGCTCATATTCCTTTTCCTGCTGGGAGGCAGCTCCTTTTCCCCCTGGGAGCTGTTTTTCCTGCTCACATTCCTTTCTTTTCCCTGCTGGATTGCCCCCAGCTCCAGGTGCCCCAACAATTCCACCCAGCCCCTGCTGAAGGAGCCGTCCGGCGAGGAGGACTCGAAACCCTTCGAAGCCCCCCGAGCCGCCCCAGCCCCTCCCCACCCCCCCAGCACCCCCCCAATCCGGGGGCAGCCCCTTCCCAAACCCCCCCCTTGCTTTTCCCCCGCTTTCCCCTCCGGCATCTTCCCATCCAGCAATTCCAGAGCCCAGGAACGGGATGAGGCTCCACCGGCATCCACAGCCCAGCCCGAAGGTAAAAACAACCCCCCTCTAAATTAACTCCTCTTCTCCCCAAAAAATAACCTGGGAAGGGCTTAAATTCCCATCCAAACTTTCCTCCTGCCTGGATGGTGAGGAAAATGGAAGGTTCAGTGACTTTTCCTGTCCCTTCAGGCTCCGACTCCGTCATTTTGCTCAAGGTGAAGGATCCCAGGACGTCGGCGCCGAGGTGAGAGCCCTGGGAATTGAGGGAATGAGCTCCTGGAGGAAGGAAAAGAGGGGATTTGTTGGTTTATTTAGGGAGGTTTTCACCAGGAGACCCCACTTTCCATGTTTTTCCCACCAGGGAAAACCACTAAAATTTGTCCCTTTTTTTTTCCCTCTTTTTTTTTCCAGCCCTCCCTTCTTCCAGGCAGAGCTGTGGATCAAAGAGCTGTAAGTCCATGATTTCTTCTCTTGTTTTTTTTATTTTATTTTGTGGGGGATGAGAAATGAAAAGGTTGATGTTTTTCCTCCCCCTATAATCCCAAAAAAAAACCCTAAAGAGGTGTGGGTTTTGTTTCCAGGACCAGTGTTTACGATTCCCGAGCTCGGGAGAGGTTGAGGCAGATTGAGGAGAAAAAAGCTTTGGCTTTGCAGCTGCAGAACCAGGTGAGGAGGAGGAAAAAGAGGGGGAAAATGGGGGGAAAAAATGGGAAAAATTGGATCCAGTTCGGGAATGATGGAATATCCTGAGTGGGAAGGGACACACAAGGACCAAAGTCCAACTCCTGCCCTTGAACAGGACACCCCAAATCCCACTGATCCCCAAAATCCCAACCCCTGACCCTGAACAGGACACCCCAAATCCCACTGATCCCCAAATCCCAACCCCTGGTCCTTGCACAGGACACCTCAAATCCCACTGATCCCCAAAATCCCAACCCCAAATCCCACTGATCCCCAAAATCCCAACCCTTGGTCCTGCACAGGACACCCCAAAATCCCAGTGATCTCCAAAATCCCAACCCCAAATCCCACTGATCCCCAAAATCCCAACCCCTGGCCCTTGCACAGGACACCCCAAATCCCAGTGATCCCCAAATCCCAACCCTTGGTCCTGCATAGGACACCCCAAATCCCACTAATCCCCAAAATCCCAACCCCAAATCCCACTGATCCCCAAAATCCCAACCCCTGACCCTTCACAGGACACCCCAAAATCCCAGTGATCCCACAGGGAGCATCCAGTCCAACCCCTGGCCCTGCACAGGACCCTCCAAAAATCCCAGTGATCCCAAATCCCCGAGAGCGTCACTCAAACACTGCCATGTCCCTCGTGGGACTCGTGGGAAGGGCTGAATCCCTGACTTCATCCCTGAATCCTCCTGATCCCTGGAATCAGGGAATGCCCTGGGTGGGCAGGAGTGAATCCCTGAATCTCCCTGATCCCTGGAATCATGGAATACCCTGGGTGGGAAGGGGTGAATTCCTGAATCCCCCTGATCCCTGGAATCAGGGAATACCCTGGATGGGAAGGGGTGAATCCCTGAATTCCCCTGATCTCTGGAATCAGGGAATGCCCTGGATGGGAAGGGGTGAATTCCTGAATCCACCTGATCCCTGGAATCAGGGAATACCCTGGATGGGCAGGGCTGAATCCCTGAATCTCCCTGATCCCTGGAATCAGGGAATACCCTGGATGGGAAGGGGTGAATCCCTGAATTCCCCTGATCTCTGGAATCAGGGAATGCCCTGGGTGGGCAGGAGTGAATCCCTGACTCCATCCCTGAATCCTCCTGATCCCTGGAATCAGGGAATACCTTATGTGGGAAGGGCTGAATCCCTGACTCCATCCCTGATCTCTGGACTTCTGGAATGCCCTGGGTGGGAAGGGCTGAATCCCTGACTCCATCCCTGACTCCCTGCATCCCTGTGACTCCCTGGATCCCTGTGACTCCCTGTGGATCCCAATGGATCCCTGTGGATCCCACTGACACCGTGTCCATGCCCCAGAGGCTGCAGCAGCGGGAGCAGGCGCTGCCCGGGCGGGTGGATCTGAACCTGTGTGGGAAGGGCTGAATCCCTGAATCCTCCTGATCTCTGGAATCAGGGAATACCCTGGATGGGAAGGGGTGAATCCCTGAATCCCCCTGATCTCTGGACTCATGGAATGCCCTGGGTGGGAAAGGGTGAATTCCCTGACTCCATCCATGAATCCTCCTGATCTCTGGAATCCTGGGATGCCCTGGGTGGGCAGGAGTGAATCCCTGACTCCTCCTGATCTCTGGAATCAGGGAATACCCTGGATGGGAAGGGGTGAATCCCTGAATCCCCCTGATCTCTGGAATCAGGGAATGCCCTGGATGGGAAGGGGTGAATCCCTGAATCCCCCTGATCTCTGGAATCATGGAATGCCCTGTGTGACTTTCCACACCAGGATGAATCCCTGACTCCATCCCTGACTCCCCCGTGTCCCTGGACAATGCCCTGGGTGGGAAGGGGTGAATTCCTGACTCCATCCCTGAATCCTTCTGATCCCTGGAATCATGGGATCCCCTGTGTGGGAAGGGGTGAATCCCTGAATCCTCCTGATCTCTGGACTCATGGGATGCCCTGGATGGGAAGGGGTGAATCCCTGAATCCCCCTGATCTCTGGAATCAGGGAATACCCTGGATGGGAAGGGCTGAATCCCTGGATCCCTGTGGGTTCCTGTGGATCCCTGTGGGTTCCCATGGATCCCTGTGGATCCCACTGACACCGTGTCCATGCCCCAGAGGCTGCAGCAGCGGGAGCAGGCGCTGCCCGGGCGGGTGGATCTGAACCTGTGTGGGAAGGGCTGAATCCCTGGATCCCCCTGATCTCTGGAATCAGGGAATACCCTGGATGGGAAGGGGTGAATCCCTGAATCCCCCTGATCTCTGGACTCATGGAATGCCCTGGGTGGGAAGGGGTGAATCCCTGACTCCATCCCTGAATCCCCCTGATCTCTGGACTCCTGGGATGCCCTGGGTGGGCAGGAGTGAATCCCTGACTCCTCCTGATCTCTGGAATCAGGGAATACCCTGGATGGGAAGGGGTGAATCCCTGAATCCCCCTGATCTCTGGAATCAGGGAATGCCCTGGATGGGAAGGGGTGAATCCCTGAATCCCCCTGATCTCTGGAATCATGGAATGCCCTGTGTGACTTTCCACACCAGGATGAATCCCTGACTCCATCCCTGACTCCCCCGTGTCCCTGGACAATGCCCTGGGTGGGAAGGGGTGAATTCCTGACTCCATCCCTGAATCCTTCTGATCCCTGGAATCATGGGATCCCCTGTGTGGGAAGGGGTGAATCCCTGAATCCTCCTGATCTCTGGACTCCTGGGATGCCCTGGGTGGGCAGGAGTGAATCCCTGACTCCTCCTGATCTCTGGAATCAGGGAATACCCTGGATGGGAAGGGGTGAATCCCTGAATCCTCCTGATCTCTGGACTCATGGAATGCCCTGGGTGACTTTCCACACAGGGGTGAATCCCTGACTCCATCCCTGAATCCCCCGTGTCCCTGGACGATGCCCTGCGTGGGAAGGGGTGAATCCCTGGATCCCTGTGACTCCCTGGATCCCTGTGGGTTCCCATGGATCCCTGTGGATCCCACTGACACCGTGTCCATGCCCCAGAGGCTGCAGCAGCGGGAGCAGGCGCTGCCCGGGCGGGTGGATCTGAACCTGCGTGGGAAGGGATAAATCCCTGAATCCCCCTGATCTCTGGACTCCTGGGATGCCCTGGGTGGGCAGGAGTGAATCCCTGACTCCTCCTGATCTCTGGAATCAGGGAATACCCTGGATGGGAAGGGGTGAATTCCTGAATCCCCCTGATCTCTGGACTCATGGAATGCCCTGGGTGGGAAGGGGTGAATCCCTGACTCCATCCCTGAATCCTCCTGATCCCTGGAATCAGGGAATACCCTGTATGGGAAGGGGTGAATCCCTGATTTCCTGATCCCCGTGGATCCCTGTGGATCCCTGTGGATCCCACTGACACCGTGTGGATTCTGGCAGAGGCTGCAGCAGCGGGAGCAGGCGCTGCCCGGGCGGGTGGATCTGAACCTGTGTGGGAAGGGATAAATCCCTGAATCCCCCTGATCTCTGGAATCATGGAATGCCCTGGGTGACTTCCCACACCAGGATGAATCCCTGACTCCCCCGTGTCCCTGGATGATGCCCTGGGTGGGAAGGGGTGAAATCCCTGACTCCATCCCTGAATCCCCCTGATCCCTGGAATCATGGGATCCCCTGTGTGGGAAGGGGTGAATCCCTGAATCCTCCTGATCTCTGGAATTGTGGGATGCCCTGGATGGGAAGGGGTGAATCCCTGAATCCCCCTGATCTCTGGAATCAGGGAATACCCTGGATGGGAAGGGCTGAATCCCTGGATCCCTGTGGGTTCCTGTGGATCCCAATGGATCCCTGTGGATCCCACTGACACCGTGTCCATGCCCCAGAGGCTGCAGCAGCGGGAGCAGGTGCTGCCTGGGCGGGTGGATCTGAACCTGTGTGGGAAGGGATAAATCCCTGACTCCATCCCTGACTCCCTGGATCCCAGTGGATCCCTGTGGATCCCACTGACACCGTGTGGGTTCTGGCAGAGGCTGCAGCAGCGGGAGCAGGCGCTGCCCGGGCGGGTGGATCCAAACCTGTGTGGGAAGGGCTGAATCCCTGGATCCCTGTGGGTTCCTGTGGATCCCTGTGACTCCCTGGATCCCTGTGGATCCCCGTGGATCCCTGTGGATCCCACTGACACCGTGTGGGTTCTGGCAGAGGCTGCAGCAGCGGGAGCAGGCGCTGCCCGGGCGGGTGGATCTGAACCTGCGGGTGCCGCTGGAGAAGGAGATCCCGGTGACGGTGGGGCCGGAGCAGGAGCAGGAGGAGCATCCCAAGGGCCCCGAGGGAGAGGAGGAATTCCCGGAGATCACCGAGGTGGGTGGTTTAAATTATTGGAAATTTCGTTTTTTTAAAGGGCAAGTTTATTGTAGTGCAAATTTATTTTTTAAGGGCAGATTTTATTTTAGTGCAATTTATTTTTGTTTTCTTGCAAATTTATTTTTATTTTAGTGCAAATATTTGTTTTATTTTCTTGCAAATCTTTTGGATCCTCCTTGGATCAGTTGGGTTGAGCCCAGGAATTCCCAGTTCCATTGTTCAGTTCCCTTTGGGATGGGTTGGGCTGATCCTTTGGGATGGGTTGGGCTGATCCTTTGGGATCAGTTGGGCTGATCCTTTGGGATGGGCTGGGCTGATCCTTTGGGTTGATCCTTTGGGATGGGCTGGGCTGATCCTTTGGGTTGATCCTTTGGGATGGGCTGGGCTGATCCTTTGGGTTGATCCTTTGGGTTGATCCTTTGGGCTGATCCTTTGGGATGTGGGTTGGAGGCTCAGGAATTCCCCATCCCATCTGTGACCCCTTTGGGATGGGCTGGGCTGATCCTTTGGGATAGGCTGGGCTGATCCTTTGGGATGTGGGTTGGAGGCTCAGGAATTCCCCATCCCATCTGTGACCCCTTTGGGATGGGTTGGGCTGATCCTTTGGGTTGATCCTTTGGGATGGGGTGGGCTGATCCTTTGGGATGTGGGGCTGGAGGCTCAGGAATTCCCCAGCCTGGTTTGGATCCCCCTGGGATGGGCTGGGCTGATCCTTTGGGATGTGGGCTGGAGGAGCAGGAATTCTCCAGCCTGGTTTGGATCCCTTTGGGATGGGCTGGGCTGATCCTTTGGGATGGGGCTGGAGGATCAGGAATTCTCCAGGTTGATCCCTTGGGATGGGTTGGGCTGATCCTTTGGGATCGGGTTGGGTTGATCCTTTGGGATGGGTTGGGCTGATCCTTTGGGATGGGCTGGGTTGATCCTTTGGGATGGGTTGGGTTGATCCTTTGGGATGGGCTGGGTTGATCCTTTGGGATGGGATGGGCTGATCCTTTGGGATGTGGGACTGGAGGATCAGGAATTCCCCATCCCATCTGTGACCCCTTTGGGATGGGTTGGGCTGATCCTTTGGGATGGGCTGGGCTGATCCTTTGGGCTGATCCTTTGGGCTGATCCTTTGGGATGGGGCTGGAGGCTCAGGAATCGCCGGGGGGTCGGGAATTGCCGTTCCCAGCTCCGCGTGGTCCCGCAGGAGATGGAGAAGGAGATCAAGAGCGTGTTCCGGGGCGGGAACCAGGACGAGGTGCTGAGCGAGGCTTTCCGCCTCACCATCACCCGCAAGGACATCCAGACCCTCAACAACCTCAACTGGCTCAACGACGAGGTGGGGAATGCCGGGAATGCCGGGAATACTGTCGGGAATGCCGGGAATTCCGGGAATACCAGGAAATTTGGGAATACCGGGTGGCTCAACCAGGCCTGGGCACAGCAGGGATTTTGGGGGGTCTGGTGATGATGATGGTAATTATTAATTATTAATATAATGGTAATTATATGATTATTAATTAAATGGTAATAATGGTGATTATAATGATTGTGATAGTGATCAAATGGCGGTCGTAATAATAATTATTATGGTGATGAAATAATGGTCATCGTCATAATAGTGATAAAATAATTATTATTGTGATAATAGTGATAATAAAATAGTAGTGATAATAAAATAATATCATGATTATGATAATTATGATAATAAAATAAATAATATTGTAATGATGATAATAAAGATAATAATGTAAAATAGTAATATAATATAATAAGATAATATATAATACATATGTTATATATAATATATATAATATATATGTTATATTATAAATTATTATAATATTATATGTTATTATATTATTATATATTATATATTATATATAAGTATATAATATAATATTTATTGTATAGTATATTATATTATATATAATATATAAGATAATAACATAAAATAGTGATAGTGACCATCATGATGATGATAAAATAATGAAAATAATAATGATAAAGTAATTACTAATATAATGAAAATTATAATAAAATAATTATTATCCTAATAGTTCTAAAATAGCAATTGTTATTATAATAATTATAGTAAAATATAATAATTATACTAATAAAATAATAATTATTAGTATGTAATAATGATAATAATAAAAAATAATATAACCATACCAATGATTATTATAATAAAATAATGATGATAGTAAAAATCATTTTGATTCAAATAATAATGATGATAATAATAATAATAATAGTAATATGATGATTATGATGATAATAATAATAATAGTAATAAATGGCCATAGCCATAATAATAATAATAATAATAATAATAATAAATGGCCATAGCAATAATAATAATAATAATAATAATAATAATAATAATAATAATAATAAATGGCCATAGCCATAATCAGGACCACCCAAAACCCCCTCAACCAACAAACCCCCACTCGCCCACCCCCAAATTTCCCGATTTTTCCCTCTTTTTTTTTAATTTTTAACCCCCTGAACCACCCAAAAAAAACCCCTCTTGATGCCCCTCCCCCCCCTTTTTTATTTTTCCCCTGCCCAGATCATCAACTTCTACATGAACCTGCTGATGGAGAGGAGCAAGGAGAAGGGGCTGCCGGCCGTGCACGCCTTCAACACCTTCTTCTTCACCAAGCTGCGCTCGGCCGGCTACGGCGCCGTCAAGAGGTGGACCAAGAAGGTGGACATCTTCTCCGTGGACCTGCTGCTCGTGCCCATCCACCTGGGCGTGCACTGGTGCCTGGCTGTGAGTGCTGGGGGGGTTTGGGGTCAGGAGAAGTTTTTGGGGTGTTCAGGGGGGAGTTCTGGGGGTCAGGAGAGGTTTTTGGGGTGTTTGGAAGGTGGGACATCTTCTCCGTGGACCTGCTGCTCGTGCCCATCCACCTGGGCGTGCACTGGTGCCTGGCCGTGAGTGCTGGGGGGGTTTGGGGGGTCAGGAGAGGTTTTTGGGGTGTTTGGAAGGTGGGACATCTTCTCCGTGGACCTGCTGCTCGTGCCCATCCACCTGGGCGTGCACTGGTGCCTGGCCGTGAGTGCTGGGGGGGTTTGGGGGTGTTTGGGGTTGGGTTACAGGGATCTGGAGAGGTTTTTGGGGTGTTTGGAAGGTGGGACATCTTCTCCGTGGACCTGCTGCTCGTGCCCATCCACCTGGGCGTGCGCTGGTGCCTGGCTGTGAGTGCTGGGGGGGTTTGGGGGGCCAGGAGAGGATTTTGGGGTATTCAGGGGGAGTTCTGGGGGTCAGGAGAGGCTTTTGGGGTGTTTGGAAGGTGGGACATCTTCTCCGTGGACCTGCTGCTCGTGCCCATCCACCTGGGCGTGCACTGGTGCCTGGCCGTGAGTGCTGGGGGGGTTTGGGGTGTCAGGAGAGGATTTTGGGGTGTTTGGGGTGTTCAGGACGGAGTTACAGAGATCAGGAGCAGCGTTTGGGGTGTTTGGGATTGAGTTCCAGAGATTTGGAATGGCTTTTGGGGAGTATTTGGGGTGTTCAGGAGGGAGTTATGGGGGTCAGGAGAGGTTTTTGGGGTCTTTGGGATTGAGTTCCAGGGATCAGGAACAGCTTTTGGGGCAGTTTGGGGTGTTTGGGATTGAGTTACAGAGATCAGGAGTGGCTTTTGGGGTGTTCAGGGGGGAGTTCTGGGGGTCAGGAGAGGTTTTTGGGGTGTTTGGAAGGTGGGACATCTTCTCCGTGGACCTGTTGCTCGTGCCCATCCACCTGGGCGTGCGCTGGTGCCTGGCTGTGAGTGCTGGGGGGGGTTGGGGGGTCAGGAGAGGGTTTTGGGGTGTTTGGGATTGAGTTCCAGAGATCAGGAACAGCTTTTGGGGTGTTTGGGGTGTTTGGGATTGAGTTCCAGGGATCAGGAACAGCTTTTGGGGCAGTTTGGGGTGTTTGGGATTGAGTTCCAGGGATCAGGAACAGCTTTTGGGGCAGTTTGGGGTGTTTGGGAGGGAGATACAAGGACAGGAGCAGCTCTTGGGGTGTTTGGGATTGAGTTCCAGGGATCAGGAGAGGCTTTTGGGGTGTTTGGGATTGAGTTACAGGGATCAGGAGAGGCTTTTGGGGCAGTTTGGGGTATTTGGGATTGAGTTACAGGGATCAGGAACAGTTTTTGGGGTGTTTGGGATTGGGTTACAGAGATCAGGAGAGGCTTTTGGGGGTGTTTGGGATTGAATTACAGGGATCAGGAACAGTTTGGGGGGGTTGGGGTGTTCAAGAGGGAGTTACAGAGATCAGGAACAGCTTTTGGGGGAGTTTGGGGTGTTTGGGAGGGAGATACAAGGACAGGAGCAGCTTTTGGGGCAGTTTGGGGTGTTTGGGATTGAGTTCCAGGGATCAGGAACAGCTTTTGGGGCAGTTTGGGGTGTTTGGGATTGAGTTCCAGGGATCAGGAGAGGCTTTTGGGGCAGTTTGGGGTGTTTGGGATTGAGTTCCAGGGATCAGGAACAGCTTTTGTGGCAGTTTGGGGTGTTTGGGGTGTTCAGGAGGGAGTTACAGGGATCAGGAACAGTTTTTGGGGTGTTTGGGATTGGGTTACAGGGATCAGGAGAGGCTTTTGGGGGTCTTTGGGGTGTTTGGGATTGAGTTCCAGGGATCAGGAGAGGCTTTTGGGGCAGTTTGGGGTGTTCAGGAGGGAGTTACAGGGATCTGGAGAGGCTTTTGGGGTGTTTGAGACTGAATTACAGAGATCAGAAATATATTTGGGGTGTTCAAGAGGGAGTTACAGAGATCAGGAACAGCTTTTGGGGTGTTTGGGGTTGAGTTTCAGGGATCAGGAGAGGCTTTTGGGGCAGTTTCTGACCTTCAATCCTGGGGTTGGGGCACAAATTTCGTGGCTCTTTGCAAAGTTGGACTTGGGGGGGGGTGTGTTTTAAAATCGATCCTTTAGACCCCTGAGAGCCCCCCCAGACCCATGAGAGCCCCCCCAAAACCCTTTAGGGCCCCTATAAGGCCCCCCTGCCCCTCCCTGACTCGGTGTCCCATTCCAGGTCGTGGATTTCCGGAAGAAAACCATCACCTACTACGACTCCATGGGGGGCATCAACAGCGAGGCCTGCAGGGTCCTGCTGTGAGTATCCCGGGATTTGGGGGCGGGAACGGCCGGGGGAACCCCCTGGCTGCTGCCCCACAGCACCCCCAGCTCCTGGGGGGACAGGGACACTGTCCTAGAACACCCCATAACTCCTATGGGGTCACTGAGGACAGGCCCTATAACAGGGACACTGAGGACAAACCCTATAAAACCCCACAGGGACACTGAGGACAGGCCCTATAACCCCTCCACAGCTCATATGGGGTCACTGAGGACAGGCCCTATAACAGGGACACTGCCCTATAACCCCCCATAGCTGCTATGGGGTCACTGAGGACAGGCCCTATAACAGGGACACTGCCCTATAACACCCCATAGCTTCTATAGGGTCACTGAGGACAAGCCCTATAACAGGGACACTGCCCTATAACACCCCATAGCTCCTGTGGGGTTACTGAGAACAGGCCCTATAAACACCCCACAGGGACAGGGGGACAGGCCCTATAACCCCCCCAGCTCCTATGGGGTCACTGAGAACAGGTCCTATAACCCCCCACAGGGACAGGGGGACAGACCCTATAACCCCCCATAGCTCCTGTGGGGTCACTGAGGACAGGCCCTATAACAGGGACACTGCCCTATAACCCCCCACAGCTCCTATGGGGTCACTGAGGACAGGCCCTATAACAGGGACACTGCCCTATAACATCCCATAGCTGCTATGGGGTCACTGAGGACAGGCCCTATAACAGGGACACTGAGGACAAACCCTATAAAACCCCACAGGGACACCGAGGACAAACCCTATAACCCCCCACAGCTCCTATGGGGACACTGAGGACAGGCCCTATAACCCCCCACAGCTCCTATGGGGTCACTGAGAACAGACCCTATTAACAGGGACACTGAGGACAGGCCCTATAACCCCCCACACTCCTATGGGGTCACTGGGGACAGGCCCTATAACACCCCACAGGGACAGGGGGACAGACCCTATAACAGGGACACTGCCCTATAACACCCCCCAGCTCATATGGGGTCACTGAGGGCAGGCCCTATAACAGGGACACTGCCCTATAACACCCCCCAGCTTCTGTGGGGTCACTGAGGACAGGCCCTATAACAGGGACACTGAGAGCAGGCCCTATAACCCCTCAAAGCTCCTATGGGGTCACTGAGGGCAGGCCCTATAACACCCCACAGGGACACTGAGGACAGGCCCTATAACCCCCACAACTCCTATGGGGACACTGAGAACAGACCCTATAACACCCCATAGCTCCTATGGGGTCACTGCGGACAGGCCCTATAACAGGGACACTGCCCTATAACCCCCCATAGCTCCTATGGGGTCACTGCCCTATAAAACCCCACAGGGTCACTGAGGACAGGCCCTATAACAAGGATACTGCCCTATAACACCCCATAGCTGCTATGGGGTCACTGAGAACAGGCCCTATAACAGGGTCACTGAGGACAGGCCCTATAACACCCCACAGGGACAGGGGAACAGACCCTATAACCCCCCACAACTCCTATGGGGTCACTGGGGACAGGCCCTATAACAGGGACACTGAGGACAAACCCTATAAAACCCCACAGGGACACTGGGGACATGCCCTATAACACCCCACACTCATATGGGGTCACTGAGGACAGGCCCTATAACAAGGACACTGCCCTATAACACCCTATAGCTCCTGTGGGGACACTGAGGACAGCCCTATAACAGGGACACTGAGGACAAGCCCTATAACAGGGACACTGCCCTATAACACCCCACAGCTCCTGTGGGGTCACTGAGGACAGGCCCTATTAGTACCCCCCAGCTCATATGGGGACACTGAGAACAGACCCTATAAACCCCCACAGGGACGGGGGGACAGACCCTATAACCCTCCACAGCTCCTATAGGGTCACTGAGGACAGGCCCTATAACAAGGACACTGCCCTATAACACCCCATAGCTGCTATGGGGTCACTGAGGACAGGCCCTATAACAGGGACACTGCCCTGTAACACCCTATAGCTCCTGTGGGGTTACTGAGAACAGGCCCTATAAACACCCCACAGGGACAGGGGACAGACCCTATAACAGGGACACTGAGGACAGACCCTATAACAGGGACACTGAGGACAGGCCCTATAACAGGGACACTGCCCTATAACACCCCACAGCTCCTATGGGGTCACTGAGGACAAACCCTATAACACCCCCACAGCTCCTCTGGGGTCACTGAGAACAGACCCTAAAGCCCCCCACAGGGACACTGAGGACAAACCCTATAACCCCCCCCACAGCTCCTATGGGGTCACTGAGGACAGACCCTATAACAGGGACACTGCCCTATAACACCCTATAGCTCCTGTGGGGACACCGAGGACAGGCCCTATAACCCCCCACAGCTCCTATGGGGACAGGGGACACTGTCCTAGAACACCCCACAGCTCCTCTGGGGTCACTGAGGACAGACCCTATAAAACCCCACAGGGACACTGAGGACAGGCCCTATAACAGGGACACTGCCCTATAACCCCCCACAGCTCCTATGGGGTCACTGAGGACAGACCCTATAAACACCCCACAGGGACAGGGGGACAGACCCTATAACACCCCCCACAACTCTTATGGGGTCACTGAGAACAGACCCTATAACAGGGACACTGAGAACAGGCCCTATAACACCCCACACTCCTATGGGGTCACTGAGAACAGACCCTATAAAACCCCACAGGGTCACTGAGGACAGGCCCTATAACCCCCCCCACTCCTCTGGGGTCACTGAGAACAGGCTCTATAAACCCCCCCCCTCCTTCCTCCCCTTTTCCCCTCCCCTCTCCCTTTTCCCTCTCCCTGCTCCCTCTTTGGGGTTTTTGGGAGCTGTGGGGTCGGGATTTCCCCCCGTGGGGCCGTGGCTTTGTAGGATTTTTCTCCTCTGGGGTCGTGGCACCCCCTTGATCCCACTTTTTTGGGGGGAAAACAGGGATTGGGATCATTCCCAGTCCTTCCCAGCACCTTTCCCGGCCCTGTGAGTTGATCCCGGGCCGTTCTCCCACGGGATGTGATTCCAAAGGGGGAGCTGCTCCCTCTTTTTTCCAGGCAGGGCTTTCCAGGGGTTGTGATCCGGGATTTTGGGGATTCAGGGAACTGTTCCTTCATCATCCCAGCTTGGTGTGGTGGGAAAAGCCCCAAAATCCTGGAAAAACTCTTCCCCTCTTCCTTAATCCTGTTCTGGAGGGAGGAAAAGCCCCAAAAACCTGGAAAAGCTGTTCCCTTTTTCCTTAATCCCTCCCTGGAGGGAGGAAAAAAACCCCAAAAACCTGGAAAAGCTGCTCCCTTTTTCCTGAATCCCTCTCTGAAAGCAGGAAAAAAACCCAAAAACCTGGAAAAGCTGTTCCCTTCTTCCTTAATCCTTCCCTGGAGGGAGGAAAATCCAAGGAAAGAGCCCCAAAAACCTGGAAAAGCTGTTCCCTTTTTCCTTAATCCCACTTTGAGGGCAGGAAAAAACCCCCAAAAACCTGGAAAAACTCTTCCCTTTTTCCTTAATCCCACTTTGAGGGCAGGAAAAACCAAGGAATAAAAACCAAAAACCTGGAAAAGCTGTTCCCTTTTTCCTGAATCTCTCTCTGAAGGCAGGAAAAACCAAGGAAAAAACCCAAAAACCTGGAAAAACTCTTCCCCTCTTCCCTAATCCTGTTCTGGAGGGAGGAAAAGCCCCCAAAAACCTGGAAAAATCCCATTTTTTCCCCCATTCCCACCCCTTGGCTCTTTCCCAGAGCCCGGAATTGGCTCCTTCCATCCCGGATTCCTTCGATTCCCAGCGGGAAATGAGGGAAAAGAAACTTCCCCCTCTCCCCAAACTCATTTTATAGGGATAAAATCAGATTATCCCAACCCAACCCTTGCAGGGGGAGCCGAAAATTCCGGCTGTAATTCCCAATTTTTTTTTTCTTTTTTTTTATTTTTTTTTCGTTTTTTAGGAAGTTTTAAAATTGGTTGAAAAGCAGTTGGGAGGATCCCACCTTGGAAAGGAGGGGCTGGAGGTTTCTGCTCATGGTTAGTGACCCTTTTTTCCTGCTTTCAATCTTTTAGAGCTTCCTAAAAAATAAAAAAAAAACTAAAAAAAACCCTAAAAAAAAAACCACCAAAAAATAAAACCTAAAAAAAACCTAAAAAAACCCCTAAAAAAACCCCTAAAATAGAAAAAAAAACCTAAAAAAACCCTAAAAAACCCCTAAAATTAAAAAAAAAACCCCTAAAAAAACCCCCTAACCCCTCCCCAAAATAGAAAAAAAAAAAAAAACTAAAAAAAAAAAAAAAACTAAAAAAAACCCTAAAATAAAAAAAAAAAAAACAAAAAACCCTAAAAAAACCCCCATAAAATAAAAAAAACCCTAAAAAAAACCTAAAAAAAACCTAAAAAAACCACCCTAAAATAAAATAATAAAAAACCAAAAAAACAAAAAAACCCACCCTAAAATAAAAAAAAACTAAAAAAAACCCTAAAATAAAGAAAAAATAAAAAAACCCCTAAAATAAAAAAAAAAGAAAAAACCCTAAAAAAATCTAAAATAAAAAAAAGCTAAAACCCCTAAAATAAAAAAAAACTAAAATAAAAAAAAACTAAAATTAAAAAAACACTAAAAAAAAAAATACACTAAAAAATACCCCTAAAATAAAAAAAAAACTAAAAAAAAACCAAAAAACCCCCACCTAAAATAAAAAAAAAACCTCCAGGAGGTGTCTGCAGAGCTGGGTGACACTTGGTGACATCAGCAGCCCCTTTAGGGCCATTGGGGACATTTTGGGGCCACCCCCTCGTGTCTTTGGGGTCCTTTGAGAAGGTGCCACTCCTGGAGGATGATGATGGTTCTTGGGGGTCTTCCTGCTCCTTTTGGGGTCTCCAGGAGGTGTCCCCAGAGCTGGGTGACACTTGGTGACATCAGAACCCCCTTTAGGGCCATTGGGACCATCCTGGGGCCACCACCTCATCTTCTCAGGTTCCTTGGAGAAGATGCCACTCCTAGGGGTCTTCCTGCTCCTTTTGGGATCTCCAGGAGGTATCCCCAGAGCTGGGTGACACTTGGTGACATCAGCAGCATCTTTAGGGTCATTGGGGACATTTTGAGGCCACCACCTCATCTTCTCAGGCTCCTTGGAGAAGGTGCCACTCCTGGGGGTCATCCTGGTCCTTTAGGGTCTCCAGGAGGTATCCCCAGAGCTGGGTGACACTTGGTGACATCAGCAACCCCTTTAGGGTCATTGGGAACATCTTGGGGCCACCCCCTCGTGTCTTTGGGGTCCTCTGAGAAGGTGCCACTCCTGGAGGGTGATGTTGGTTCCTGAGGGGTCTTCCTGGTCCTTTGGGGTCTCCAGGAGGTGTCTGCAGAGCTGGGTGACACTTGGTGACATCATCAACCCCTTTAGGGCCATTTGGGACCATCTTGGGGCCACCCCCTCGTGTCTTTGGGGTCCTCTGAGAAGATGCCACTCCTGGAGGGTGATGTTGGTTCCTGAGGGGTCTTCCTGGTCCTTTGGGGTCTCCAGGAGGTATCCCCAGAGCTGGATGACACTTGGTGACATCAACAGCATCTTTAGGGCCATTGGGACCATCTTGAGGCCACCACCTCGTGTCTTTGGGATCCTCTGAGAAGGTGCCACTCCTGGAGGGTGATGATGGTTCCTGGGGGTCATCCTGCTCCTTGGGGTCCCTCAATTTCCCTTTTCCTTGGAGTGACGTGTCCCTGTTTCCCATCCTTCCCTTCCAGGCAGTACCTGAAGCAGGAGAGCCTGGACAAGAAGAGGAAGGAATTTGATGCCAACGGGTGGGCCCTGCTGAGCAAGAAGAGCCAGGTGGGATTTGGGAAGGGGGTCCTGCTCCTTCCCATCCACATTCCAGCTTCCCATCCACCTTCCCATCCATCTTCCCATCCATCTTCCACCTTCCCATCCACCTTCCCATCCACCTTCCCATCCATCTTCCCATCCATCTTCCCATCCACCTTCCCATCCACCTTCCCATCCACCTTCCCATCCACCTTCCACCTTCCCATCCACCTTCCCATCCACCTTCCACCTTCCCATCCACCTTCCCATCCACCTTCCACCTTCCCATCCACCTTCCCATCCACCTTCCCATCCATCTTCCCATCCATCTTCCACCTTCCCATCCACCTTCCACCTTCCCATCCACCTTCCCATCCATCTCCCACCTTCCCATCCACCTTCCCATCCACCTTCCACCTTCCCATCCACCTTCCATCCACCTTCCATCCACCTTCCACCTTCCCATCCACCTTCCCATCCAC